TGCAGCAAAGAGTCATTTCCACTACCGATTTAATATCGATGATATCGATACAGAAACAAGATCAGGCTTGGAGGATATTTTTGAGAAATGATAGGCGCTGTTCACGCAAAGGCAGTAATACTTTTCAGCCACGATGGGATACGGAAGGTCGTAGTCTCTCGTAGACCTTGTTCACATACTAATCACGTCCAGAACATTCAGTTAGTCATATCTTCTGGTGATCTCCACGGCGTAGTATGAGAAGCATGTGAATTGATTATTGAAGGCCAGGCAGTGATAAGGATGAAACAAGGATGGAAACAACTTGGACCTGAGCCGGTCTTAATAGGGCAGACACGGCCCCGAGATCTCCCTTGTAGAAAGATGCCGAAACCTCCCCTGACCAAAAGATATGGAGAATTTAGTTTCCGAACATGCCGCACCGTAACGTATCTCTGTATGTCTTGAGAAGAACAGGGGTCCCACACTGCCTTTCGCGATTGTGATTCAACAGAATTACGAATTCATCAATATTAGCCCACATTCAGACATTAGCCAATTGGGGGCTTTGGAAATATTGTCGACATCATGACTGCAAATCCCCTGACCAATACGGTGTGAATCTCATCAATATTCTTGAGCTAGAATCCATCTGAAGTTTTGATATTGAAATATTTTAATACTTTGGACGAACATCAAGTACCCCAATCAAATCCAACTATGATTCTTGGACATCTGTTGTTGAGGTTTCTCAAAAATGCATTAGATATCTGTTAATACCTCAATAGCTGAGCAGCCTGGCAACCTTGCTGTGACGATATGAGTTTGTTCGGTACATCGATGCTTCGTACAAAACTGCATTCTAATGATTGTAGTGACATTATAAGAAACTTGTTTCGATTCGTCTGCACTGTCAGCGCTAGAAATAGTTTCAAGGGGCCCCTCATATGTACCTCCGTACACTCTGCGTCGGACATGAATCTACTACATGCTTGCTTCAAAGTTGTGATATTCAAGCCCGGATACATCGTGACAACGTGTCAAATCAGCCGGAAAGCATGCAAAGAGATTGCTTGACACTTGCTTGAGTTCTCAATCCTTGAAAGAAGAGAAAGATTGGGCTAACTCGTTTACCCGACGGTCGTTTCCTCCAAATTGGGCGAGAGGCACGCTCAAAGGTTTGAAGCTGCAGATAGTACCCCATTAGGCAATTACCAACATTTGGAGATCCACTAACATCGTGATAAACGTACCGGGGTACTGCAGGCTGATCTCATTCATATGTAATCATATCCTTGAAGAAAAAGTGGGAATCCCTGACATCTTTGGTGTTGTAAGCCTGGCTACTGCAAACCTTCGCAAAAATGGTCGTAGATGTCAAGAAAATCAAATCTGGACAGCAATAATATAACATCGTCATTGATTGTACAATTTGAGACATGTTATCGCTTCTCCATAAAACATATGTGCCGGTGACCAAAACTTTCAAGCCGGGCGGCCGAAATACGATTGGGAGCTCGAGACGCGCATAATCTGGAACTTTGAAGGTTAAGGTTGTATCCGAAGATCAAAGGAAACTTCCTACACTGCATGCACTGTATGTACTGTGTGTATGTAACTTATGCTCCCACGCGTGTGTACGAGGGGAGCAGCGTATCAAACGATTTCCAAGCCACATAAACCATTTGATGTTCTAAATTGGGATATTGAAGAAGAATGTAAAATTCAGATCATTTTGCAACATAGAACATTGAGTTTGATACGCGATTCTTTTTACTGTATCGCGTGACAAAAAGATTGAGCACATACCTAATAATCATTTCCAGCTTTTAGCAAGATAGAGAATAAGAGCTTCCAGGTTATTCATCTCCGATTCTCATCTGCAGATATAACCGAGAAGGTGTTAACGGCTGACTCCTTCCGAAGTAACAGTTGGTAAATGGGTAGGAAAAGTTCCAAGGTTGACTCGATCAAGAAGTGGCATGAAAACTAAGGCAAAGCGGCGCTTATTACTTTCAATACTACATAACTCTGGAGTCTCTGACCTCTTACAAGTCTCATAATTTTATGATCTCTCCTATCCCGTCCAAAAAGCCCTTTAGTCTTAGTATCCCGTAACGTGGCTCGGCCGTCAGCTTGCTTAAAAAAAGTCTTGCTTCAAGTACTTCCATTCCACAACTTCACAAGCGATCTTTTTCATTCCTCAGTTCCTCAGAGCAAATCACTGCATATTCTTCAACAATCTATATGCAAGCAATCAAGCTCGTGGGGAGCTGTCCGTCATACCCGTTCGCTTGAAGGGAGGATCCTATCAAACTTGCATCCTCTCAATACCCCGGTTGATCACATTCAAGCGAACAGATCCTACGAATTTATGCCAAATGATAAATGCATACACATAAAAGTCCACATACACACAGTGCAGTACCGTACAGTATCTTGCGAAGATCGGATACTTTGGTAATAAATTAGCTCATGTTCAATGAAAGAGTAAAAGACAGTCAAAACTACCAATAACCAATCGGACAAAAAGTCTACTTAGATCTTCAGTATCTGCATTTCAGAGGCTGTCACGAGAAGCACGAGAAGTACCAAAAGTTACCAAAGACGCAGATGAAATCGTGCACAATAACATTACATGACCAGGATCAAGATACAGTACATGAAAAATACGACCTTGGGACCCCTTCAACCTTGAAACTTTATTATTAAGATCCATTGCGCTTTTGCCTTGCCAATCGCGAATACCTACCAATATCAATCAAAACAAGGACACTTGGGAAAGCAACAAAACCATCCAACTGTAAGAGAATGACTTAAACCACAATAAAGGATACCATGCGAATATCTCAAGCTTCAGAATCAAGCACTTTCGAATCAGATAGAATCTCCTCCTTCGTTTACCTAGGGTTTTCAATAATCCTGTAATGTAAATTATTTACTTCTCATTTCGGACAATTGAAAGGAACTTGACTCTTCGATTTAATTGGCGGTCCAGAAATCAACTTGTCCCTTGTCAGCTGGATCTTCCAATCACAAAGTCGAGTCGGAAAAATACCTTGGAACGCCCAGCTTCAAAAGATACATTTTACCTGTACCGTACCTCGTCCTTGCGTCTGGCGCAGCAAGTCCTTGAGTAGCATTTGTCGCAATGCTTACCAGGGTCATAGTTTCCGCAGTCAGGCCCATGTATGATAACGACATAGCGGAAAAGAAGAGAGAGAAGCCTTCTTGTCTAGCTTTCTGGATTTCTGGTCGCGTTCTTTTCCTCTAGAGTGTCTCGATACTTGTGCGGGACTAACTCGGCTTTGATTCTTAGTGTTGACTCCTCTTCCACCTATCATTTTGAGCATTTGATAACTCCGAATTTCTACCTACTGGTATCCTCTCTTCATCATTCCCACGTCTTGTTATTGTATAAAGAAGAGAGAGACTGAAGCAAAGGCGAAAAGAAAGACGGACTCGCTTCGAAACCTACTGAGCCCCTTCATCTATACCTATCTAGGTAAAGAGTAAGTTGAACCAATCAATCTTTATTCGGTCATTCTATCATCATTAGTTCATTGCCTACCTAGGTAGTAGTTGACTTACCTCTTCTCTACTGTTGTATTCGAGGGAAGGATTTCTGTCTCTTTTTGCTAATATTATTATTATTATTGTTAGTACAGCAGATATTCAAGCTTCGATTTCCCTCTCATAATTCCTCCTGTGACTACATACCACAGTGCATACTACACATTGACCATAATCTTTTTATATCTCCCACCCACCACTACTCCATACACGGCATCTCTCCCACGAGTTCGTTGCGAATAAAAGGCCATCTGTTGATCAATGACATGCTTACCTGATCTCATTTCTCATCGACACGACCCCAAGATCAATCCCAAAGACCCTCGTACGAACAGCTACAAATGCCCACGATTACCATATAACTACCGAGACCGAGTCGACTAAGAAAAGCCATAGGTACCAAATTACAAGACTGTACCTGAGAGAGTATAGGATAGCCGTCGCGCAACCTGTCATATATCCTGTTCAATTTTATCGAAAGATGATTTCGATCTAATCATCTATACTCTACTACCTTTCAGGTATCTTATACTGATCTACTTTGATAAGGAGTATCACGGAATACTATTGATTTTTTGCCCCAATAACACACCTACATATATGTCCATACCTAATACTGTTCTTCATTCTCTTCCTCTTCCTCTTCACAAACCACCAACCACCATCCAACAAAGGAACCATCGAAATTTCACACACAACTTATCACCTATCCTATCCACCTAGTACTTTCAGACCCAAACGTCCTTCAATAACTACTCGCAAGAAAAAAGGGAGGAAAGACCCCAAATTATATATTTATATTTATATTTATATTCATATTTATATGATTGGGAATTGTTTTCGTTGTGACCTTGATCCTTCACACACACACATACCACATACTACATACACTTTTCTTGCATATACATCGTTCATTTTCCGGGGTTCCAATTAATCGACATCTGGTTTTTTGGCTTTCGTTCAAGGGTCCGTTTCCCTTATCCGCTCGGCCTGGTATCAGCAACCCTTCACCCTACATATAACTATCCACATTATCCACTACTGTACACTATTCACACCACCTTCCACTACACTACTATTACGACACTACTACTTGATTAAAATCCCTTAAACTACCAAAAGCTCCAGCTACAGGATTCTTCAGTCGCCCGCATGCATGGTGCAGAACAAATCGCTTCGTTAATGCAGCTGAACGGCTTCTACGCCGCAGTCATCAAATCTTGGAGCTTGCATTCAAACCTCCTACATCTTTTTTTTTTTTTTTGCGACGATAGCGCAAACGCGCGCCGAACGTGAAAAGTGTTAGGAGTTGGGGTCAAGTTTAATATCATATATCTCATCGCCCAATACTGTCCTTGAAAAGTATTTTGGAATTTTTTATTCCTTTGTACTTTTCTTCTCGTCGACCCGTTCGTTGCGTTGCGTTCCGTTCCGTTGCGCATTTCGTCATGTACTCGGCCGTGACAAATGGTCTTGGAGGGGGTGGTAATGAAGCTCCATTTCAACCCACAACTATCAATCCTCAAGCTCTGAATCAAGGTGACTATAATCTCTATTAGATAATGCTGATAAGACTGGAAATATCTTTTGAAGCTCCCTTTTCCTTCCTCAAATGAATATATCTACTTAGTATATTTATATGTTCTTATCCTGAGAAGCTATGAACGTTTGACTGACTGAATCTTGCGATGCGATAGGAGCTCTCAACCCCGCCCAAGCAATTTCACCAAATGAAAGTCCTCGAGGAATAAAGCGAAGCCGCTCTCCAGATACATATAATGAAATACCACAGGTGGATAATCATATAGATGACGGTATGTTATCACTCCTCATATATTCGGGGTTCGCTTTATTCACACCTACCGTAACGATATGTTACATGCGCACTTACTTTACCCTTTCAAAAAAAATTGCTGACGCTTGTATCTTGTTCTAGGTGACTTAAAGCCCCGAAAGAGAGGAAGACCCATGAAGTTGAAGTCGGCCGTCAATACCTCGGAAAATTCTAAACAAAGCCAAATGCCACATTCAACCTCAGCCTCAAGCCAAAGTGGCCAGCCGCAGACTCCTCAGTCGCAGCATACGGTCTTACCTCATAACCGTACACCAGGCTCAAACTTGGCTCAAACGCCCGTTCCCAAGCCAACTCCTAAGACAGTTGTCAAAGCCTTACCAACTGTGAGGGATCACACCACCGACCAGTTAGGTGCAGAGGGAGATGAGTATATTCCACGAGAATATGATGAGCAGGGTGAGAAAAAGGTTTCAGCTATGGGACATTTGACAGATGGACGCGAATACAGGTGTCGAACATTCTATGTACCAAATCGAGGAGATAAATTATTCATGTTAGCAACAGAGTGTGCCAGAGTACTAGGATATCGGGACTCGTATCTACTGTTCAACAAGAACAGATCTCTCTACAAGATCATCGCCACCCAAGCAGAGAAGGAAGATTTAATCCATCAAGAAATCTTACCTTTCTCTTACCGCTCTCGCCAAATAGCGATCGTGACTGCAAAATCCATGTTCCGGCAATTTGGTAGCAGAGTTATCGTTAATGGGCGTCGGGTCAGAGATGATTATTGGGAAACGAAAGCACGCAAGCAAGGGTTCACGGAAGATGATCTTGCCGGGGAAAAGAGACCGGGCGCAGCAAAAGCCCGAGATGCCGCCGCTGCTGCCGAAGCTTCCGCTGCTCTTGCTGCAAGTCACCACCATGGCGATATTTATAGCAATGGCCCGGGACATTATGGGTACCCGCAAGCAGCGGTTCCATCTGCTATGATGGGTATTCCTAGTGCCACTAACCCACTGCCCATGATAACCACTCTTGCGCCAGAACAAACAGATATGCGTTTGAGAGACTATAGCAGCATTCAACGACCAAGACAAGAACTAGCCGGGACCGCGTACCAAGATAGGACTCAGCCTAGTTCACATGCCGATTTATCAAATCATGTGAATCAAGCAGCTGAATATAGTAAGCAGATCAATCAACAACGGAGCCGTAGTCACGAGTATCTGGAACGAAGGTGGAGGCAACCTCATGAGGTTTCTGGAGGTAGCATTGTGCAAGCTACGGGTATTCACGACGGTCTTCCATCTGCACAAAATTTGCGCTCACCACGAGCATCACAAAGTATTGCGCAGCAACCAATTCTGGCACATCAGAACCCACAGAATCTTTCATACTCTCAGGCTTCTCATCAACCTGGTATTGTTTCACAGCCTCCGATCAGAAGTGCACCATCAAGACAGGAGCAGGCAGCAGGGCGATCTCCCAGCATACCAATTGCGTCTGCGAGCAATATGAATCAAGGGACGAATCCTTATCAATTCACGTCTCAGAATCAGATGTGGCCATCAAGTCAACCACAGCAGTCCCCACAGCAACATGCGTTTAACCCAAGCTACCCACCCCATCCTAGTCAACAATCGCCACATATACAACAATCTCCTCATCAACCTCCCCCTCCAACACTTCGACAACCAGGAAGCAATCCTCAAATGCAACCCGCATTACAATATTCTGGTATGCAAGGAATGGGGCAAAATTACGCAGCACCAAATCGAAATATTTATCAACCTGAGTCAAACAATCAGCAATTTATGCAACCTACAACCTCCGGTTCCCAGCCTAGCTCTCAAGGCTGGGCTCCACAACAACCTACTGGAACTAGTGCTGGCTGGGGTTGGACAGGTCAACCGCAATAGATGGAGTTACAAGGACGAATATTACATAGTCAACGTTAGATGATGGCATCACAATGTAGGATGCATGCCAGAAAACGGGAATGAAACGAAGGATATGACACACCTCTCGAGATCAATATGATCGCCTATGCTACTTCTCGATCTGGATGTGTCCATGCTCCAACGCATCTTACATCGAATGTTCTCCAGCAATGGTGGAATGGGGTTACATCACAACACAGCAATATTCTATTTCGGTTCTCCCATGCCAAAGCATTTTCAAATGCTAAGCATCCAAATGGACTGCCTTTCTGTATAGCTATGGCATGTTTTCTCTCTTAAGGCTCTTATTTATTATCGCTTGTTCGTTCAATAACTTTTTCAGTTTTATACCTTATCTTTTCTTTTTCCTTTTCTTTTGCTTCTCTTTCTCGATGTATTTTTCCTCTTCTGTTTTTAACATCACACCACTTAATTTCTTCCCGAGTGCCTTTTCTTTGGATATGAAAGGTACCCTGGCACCTTTGTTCTCATTGTTGCGTTAACTACCTTTGTCTGTTCCTTGTTCTCTTTTACCTCCCAACTTTCAATGTGTGAGAATTCTTTGGTGGCAACGAAATGCATATGAGCTAAGGGTTAGCTTCGTTGAATTTTTTTTATCTAAGCAAGGGCATGCATCGATGGATTTGTTTGTTTACTTCTTGCCGATTTCAAGAGCATGGGGTATTATGGCTGGTTAGGATATACACTTTTGCATTACGTGCAAGGCTTTGGCATATGACGCATAGGGATTGATTTAACTGGGTTATACCCGTCATGAAAGCACATATTGGACGTAAGGGTCGAATGGGTGACTGTGTGGGTGGGATCGGGGGATGGAGTTTGGAAGGGAATACCTCTCTGTTTGTTTTGTGTGTTTTGAAAATTTGTAAACATTTTCGTTTTTTATTAAGGACATATTTATTGAGTCCTGACTGTTTGTCGTCTGTTCTATGTTGTGTCGTTTATCTTGAGTTGATAATTCCAATGATTTGTGTGGTGCGTGTCGTTGCATTATTGATGGGTGGATCGATGGTGGCGGTGTGGTTTTTGTGTTGTGCGTGATGATGATGATGATGATCGAAGGGAATACTGAGTTGAATGTGAATGTGCATTTGTGGGGTGAGGTGAAGTAATGCATGAGGAATGGTACGTGAGAGGTGGGATCAGGTGGTGGTATATGAGGGAATGAAACGTAATGGGCTGCAATGGGATGGAATGGGTATATATATGCATGGATACGGGTGGAAATGGAAATAGAGATGTGCAAATAACATACATACTCTGGGGAAAGTGAAATATTGAAATATTAGCAATAATTCTGTTGATGTTGGGTGTGTTTGCGATTGTTCTTAAACTTATGTTGGTGTGGTCGATATTAGTATGGTGGAGGTGAGGTGATGGTGGTTGGTATTGGTGTTGATTAATCTTGATCATAATCTTAATCGTCATATCGAGATTGATTAACATGATTCATCAACTTGATCAGTGAATGTGTACTGCTTGGAATTTGGAACGATTTTCTCGTTGGATTGAGGAATTGGGAAGTTGGGGAGTTGAGATTTAAGATTTGAGATTTGAGATTTGAGATTTGAGATTTGAGATTTGAGATTTGCCTGAGTAGGTAGATGGGTAGATGTTTGGGAATGGGATAGGATAGGATGGAATGGGATGGGATGAGATGGAATGGAGAGAGGATATTGAGAGGGATTGGGTTGAGAGTAGAGGTTTGATGGCTTTGAGTGTTATTAAGGTGTTGGAATTAGGGTTGGGGTTAGTGTTGCTAATGGGTTGGGGTTTGTTTTGTGGGTTCTTTTGGATAGGTGGGTATGAGGGAGAGTGTGAGGATTGAAATTTCTGGGGTTTTTTTTAATTGTTTCTTGTTTTTTTTTTTACTTTCTTTGAAGGGGGAGAGGTGATGGTGAAGGAGTTGCTTGAGATGATGAGGTGTTGGGTGAGATGGGATGAATGAGGGGATGGAGTGAGGTTGGGGGACTGGGATGTGATGGGGTGTGTAGATTGTTATACGATGTCCCAGCTGTATGACACTCTAATATGAGATGAAATAGGATAGGATAGGGGGGTTTGAATATGGGAACAATTAGAGATGTAAATTGGGGATGTGAGAAATATGGGAGATAGATCGGTTGAGGATGTAAATGTTGGTTTTTTCTTAGATTTGAAAAGGGAAGGGAGAAGGGAGATATAGAGGAGATGTTGAATTGTTGTTAGGTAAGAGGGTGGGGGAAGGGGGAGTGTTCGAATGGAAGCGGAAGAGGTTTATGGATATGGATAAGAAAGCAATGATGAGTGGGTTTTTGTTCGAGTCTCGCAAATGTATCCTAATATTCTATATATTCTTACTACTAACTTTTCAACGATTGATTATCTATCTATCTATTTATATGCACGCTTAGTATTCATTCTCTTCCTATCCCCGCAAATCTAAACCAAAGCATTCGAAATCTCCAACTCAACACCCTCGTCTGTTTTTCCTACAACTTTCAAACTTTCCAAGTCCTTCACAACCCAGTCGGCGCCGGCTTCGACGACTTGTTCTATGGTGTGTGTGGTTACTACGGCTAGCACTTTGCACCCGGCTGCTTTGCCGGCGCGGATACCCGCAGGACTGTCTTCGAGGACGAGGAGGGAGCCATCGGGAGCGGAAGAGAGGTTGAGTTTGGATTTGCCCATGTTGTAACAGGCTGGGAGGAGGGGTGTTAGTATTTTGGGGGGTTGGGGTTCTAAGAGAGGATAGGGGAGAGACACGAACTCGGATCAGGTTTTCCATTTGGAACATCTTCTGCAACGACGAGATGCTCTGGGATGGGAAGTTTGAGGACGTTAAGCCAGCCGGTCACGAGGGGGGAAGTGCCGGATGTTACGATGGCCCAGGGGTGGGAGGCGCTGATTAGAGAGGTGAGGAGGGAGCGAGCACCGGGGATTTCGACGGCGTCGTCCCCGTAGTTTTTGGGGAGGAGTCCTTCCATGTGTTTTATGTCTGGGTGGAGTGTTAGGTTGTGGGGGGTTGAAATTTGGGGAGGCGTTCTGATGGGATGGTATCATGATGGTTGTTTGAAGTTAAAGGAGCAGAACTATAGCGGGATGCCCTTGTGGGTTTGAATAAATATATTCTCAATGAGAAGAGCTGGGACGGTTGACCGCTCAATAATGTGAACACGATTCGTGATCTAGCTAGGATACGAATTCCACTCGGATCGAGAATCGACCACTTCTCTTTTAACCCTGTCACCCCTTCGGATGGAATAATACTTAAGAACTAAACTTGGTTTTCGAAGCATTCTTTCAAGGCCTCGCTAGTAGGTAGTATGGTAAGAAACCAAGCAAAAGACTTCTTGCCGATTTAAGGGTAGATAAAAAGGATGAGAGTAGTTGATAGATATTTGGAAGTTCGAGACTGGGAGTAGATAATAAATAGAGCTTACAATCCCAATTTGCTTTCTCTGGAGCAATAATCTTCAAGACATCAATACTTCTCCTCCCATGACTTGTCTGTAAAATCACATTAGGATCTACTCCTATTTCGTTACCTAGCCTGGCAATTTTTGTTATTCAAGATCTCTCATTAACATATTTGGAAAAGAGAATCTTACTGATGCCAATGCTTAACGATAGCATCGGTACTGTCAATGATAGTACCATCCATATCGAAAAGTAGCCCTTTAAAGACCACTTTTTGAGGTGGAGCAGAAAACTCTCGTGGAATAGAACCCATGATCTCTTCCTTTACAAAATTAATTCAATCGAATATAATAAGAAGATCGCGGGGATCAAAACCCAAGTAACCGTAAGTAAATTGGTGGGGTGGATGTTGAGATATGTGAAATTGGCGAGAGAGACCCTTTGAACCGTCTAAATCCGACTAAAACTTTGCAATTCTCCTCCTCAAATCAGATATGCAACAAAACTTTTTTTGTTGATAGATTCAGACCTCGTGATTGTTAAATCGTTGAGTGAATTTTTTGAAAAGTTTCTTGGGGGGTGGCAAGATTAAATAGAGAATGAAGAATGAAGGAAAGTAATGATGTTTGATTCTGACTCGATATGAAGGAAGTTGACGTGGGCGGGGAGCACAAGCAATAAGTAGAAGCGTCTAATAAGGGAGTGTGCTCATCTCCATTGAAGCGGGCGGAATCATGTGACGTTGTTGTCGGAGCTGCGTGATTGGGATTAGTAGAAGGAAGCTAGAGAGAAAATGGCTTAGCGTTGATGGATTAGAAAATAATTTTAGTGCGATAAGGATTTGGAAAATCGAAAAATTCCATTATCGAAAATACTACAGTTGAGATCAACAACAGCATCTATTTGAGAATTGCACAACAGTACTCAAGATGCCTAAAGTCGGAAGTAAGTGAATGACATAGGTTATCATGTTCCGAAGGATTAATAACTAATTGATTTGCAATTCAGAGCCAAAGAGTAAACGTGTTCCAGTGCGTCTTCGTCACAAGATCGAGAAAGCATCAGTCGCAAAACAAAAGAAAGCTCGTAAGGAAGGAAAGAAAAATCCAGAATGGCGATCGCGATTAAAGAAGGATCCTGGAATTCCAAATTTGTTCCCATATAAAGATAAGATCTTGCAAGAGATTGAGGAAGGAAGAAGGAGGAAGACTGAAGAGGCTGCGAAACGACGAGCTGATGCGAAGGCTACCAAGACTGGAGAACAAGTCGAGAGAGAGGTAGAGGCTAGAATGGAAGGTGTTGATGAGGAGGATATTGAGCTTATGGATGAGGACGAGGATATGGACGATGACGATGACGAGTCCAATCCTATGGCAGCTTTACTTGCCAGTGCCAAAGCTGCTGCTGCGCAATACGAAGACGACCTTGTTAGTGGAGATGAGATGGACGAGGATGATGATTCCGAATCGGAAGAAGATGATGCATTCGATGGTGTTAAGCTCTCGGGATTACCTACACGAAAGGATGGATCAAGAAAAGCTTTCGACAAGGTTTTCAAGCAAGTTGTTGATCAAGCAGATGTTGTTCTATATGTCCTCGATGCTCGCGATCCCGAAGGTACCCGATCGAAAGAAGTCGAACGTATGGTTATGGCTGCTGCAAGTGGTGGAAAGAGATTGATTCTTATTCTCAACAAAATCGATCTTATTCCTCCTCCAGTCCTCAAAGCATGGCTCATTCACCTCCGAAGATATTTCCCAACCTTACCATTACGAGCTTCTGGACCAGCGGCAAACGCACACACTTTCAACCACAGTCAATTGACTGTTAAGAGTACTTCGCAAACACTTTTCAAGGCTTTGAAATCATTTGCCGCTGCAAAACAACTCAAACGTTCTGTTTCTGTTGGTGTTATTGGATATCCCAACGTTGGAAAATCTTCTGTTATCAATGCCCTCACATCCCGTCTTGGTGGTGCTGGTGCAGCATGCCCAGTTGGTGCCGAAGCCGGTGTTACTACATCTCTCCGATCAGTTAAGATTGATAGTAAATTGACCTTACTTGATTCTCCCGGTATTGTTTTCCCAACCGCTGGCGATAACTCTAAGGCATCGAAAATTGAAGAGCAAGCCAGACTTGTTCTCCTTAACGCTATTCCCCCCAAGCAAATTGAGGACCCAGTACCCGCAGTAACATTGTTGCTGAAGAGATTGAGCGCCTCCCAAGATATGCTCAACAAGCTTATGGATGTCTATGGATTACCGCCATTGGTTTCTATCAATGGCGATTCAACTTCCGATTTCCTGATCCAAGTCGCCAGAAAGAGAGGAAGACTTGGAAAGGGTGGTGTACCAAATATTAGCAGTGCTGCCACAACAGTCATCACAGATTGGAGAGATGGTAGAATTCAAGGATGGATGGATGCACCTGTTTTGGCCATCGCACCAGAGAAGATTGCCGGTGCCACCGTTGGCGAGGATGTCAAGGGTGACCAAAAGGAGATTGTTAAGGAGTGGGCTGAAGAATTCAAGTTGGAGGGACTATGGGGAGATAGTTCTTCAAAGGATGAGGCTATGGAGGAATAGATTTTGCTGGATGATAACAGTAAGGAATATCTTGTGCATGATCATCAGTATGTGGTTATCAGTATGGTGTTTGGCGTAATGGCTGGGTTCAAAAGTTGGCCAGGTCAGTTGGTTGTAGATACAAATTACAACAAAATAATCAACTATATGATGAACAATTTCGATTGGGCAACTTTTTGTGTTATGTTTAGCGATACCTCAAATTTCAAGCTTTCAAGTGAAGTGGGCATCTTTCAATTCTATCAACTGAGATGCATAAACTGGACTGGTATTAGATCTACCCAACAAGGTCTATTGCTCGAAATTTCGAAGTGAACAGAAATACAAGGTTTGGGAGCAATTTATACTATGGGTTTCATTATACATGAGTATTTGATGCGATATTTCTCAAATGTTTAAGAGCACTTGACACCTTAGAAAATAAAAATTGTACGCGCTTCTGAGTTTCTCATTTAAGCAAGGAGATCATTTACAACAGATGTCATTCTAATTAACCATATTCTTATACCTTATACGTATAGTAATTTTTGGGAAGAGGCTCTGTTCGGCGCGGACCTCGATGATTTCATACCAGATCACTGGTTCGAGGAGCATGGTAAGACGATGGAAGAATCCCCCTCTGCTGTTTGTGGCCATGGAAAGAAGAGAGATCCTGGGCTGCATCTTGCCCGTAATATCATCTGGATCGTCGTTGCAGCTACTATGATCATCGATATCAAAGTTGGCTCTTCTGACGAGATAGGCGAGCTTATCCCAATCGATCTCCTTGCATACATTTACAGCTTAGTCAAGCGCGCTCTTCGTTTCAAAGCTTCATTTCACCTATGTGGTTCTTGCGTGCACGAAATTATTGCAAAATATCGTAATACTTATAGTAGAAGTTATATATCTCTACTATAATTGATATTGCTAGCCGGAAAGTGATATGAGGGCCTGTTTGATGCGGGGTGGGAGGGGGGTGATCTTGACGATAGATATCATGCGTTTTGGTGGTGGCTCATTTGATGGATGGTATTATGAATGATCAAAGTTAAGCTCAAAAATTCAAGACATAAACAGAAACCCACTTCCCCCTCCATAAATATCTTGCACATACAGAATCATAAGATGCCAACATCCTACAAATACCAGCTCGTTCAAAGGCATGGCAAGGCCACCTTTTTCGAGAGTCTTCTTTACAGCTAGCACCGGAGTATTTAAAGATGATTAATAGAGTGGTGTTAAAGAAATAGAGGCGTAGTATGCAAGCTAGTGTTCAATTATAAAGGAATTTATGCTCATGGCATCTAACTAAGTTCTGTTTTTGATACACTGGCACTTGGAGAACGTGTTCCCAATAGTCCGGAGTGTAGCTTAATTTAAGAGTTTCATCTTGAGATTTTGAGAATGCTATTGTCAATTCCATGCATTCATTATCCTAAAAAAAAATCAACAACCAAAACTATCTCAATATTTGAAATGATCTCAGCATTTCAAAAGGTTTGGAGATTCCAGGAATTTGAACTTTTGGTCTACAGTCCAGACTGTTCGGACCTCCTGCTAGAAGGCTATAAAACATTGATTGTAAGCGTGTGAAACTTAAATTCACCCAACACCCTTCCATAAATAGACTTCTCAGCAAAGCAATCCGTCTTATTTCTCTGCACAGCTTCAAGTTGTACAATTTGCAGAACTTCCAATCGGAATCATCAATCACAAGTACTGTTGGCAAATTTTTCAAGAACCAGCATCCCAGCATTATCACTATGATTAGCAACATCTTTGATCCGTTCGGTTAACAACGATGGAGCATCCTCAGCATTCTCCAGCAAAAATGTTGCCACATCGAAATTTCGATTCAGTAAAGCTTTGAAAACTGCTTCCTCTGTGATCAAATCATCCAAAGATCCTCTTACACGAAGAATGGCATTCAACCCCTCAAGAGTATAGACCCAGGAACCGGCTATAAGTACAATATGTGAACTTCCGACTATTTCAGTGCCACAAGAATCCAAAACAAAGGTGAACGTCTCAATGGTAACTGAATTTTTGATCATCGAGTCAAAAACTTCCTGGTTGACGAACTGGATCCCCTTCACACCAAGTATTACTTTCCAAACCTGGTAATATGGAGGCACTGCATCAATCACTATCTCTCGTGTTAGAATACCAGGACCCAATTGCTCCATAAAATATGTGATGGTATTTGAGTCATAGCTTCTGAAGGCATTCCTGACCATTTGCTCCGTAATCGAGTCGACGTGCTTGAACTCAAAAAACTTCTTTACGGTTTCACAAGAATCATGACGAACAATTTCCGCTACCATTTCTTCATCAAAAGTCTCTTCGTCCATAAGATCAAGAACTTGAGCCAGCTCACCCAGACCTCTGGTTTTGATACTGTCCTCAAAAATCTTTGCGGATATTGGTACCTCATTGGAAGCTCTATAAAAAGATTTCATAGCTCGTGATAAATCAAGATAAATGCCTTCTCTCAAACGCTTTTCGAGTTGATTGAGAAAATGGTTTCGACTCTTCTCGTGATTTAGAAGGACATTTTTTACCTCCTTACGTACTTTCTGTCTTTGGGGGTTACGACTCCTGGGAGCCACCCAGTACATCATGTCTTCAACAGGAATTAGGTCATGCATATAAGGGGGTTCATACTCGTAGCATTCGCGAAGAGTGTCGGATATTCGATTAGGATTAGCTCCGAGGTCCAGAAGATACTTCACTGAATCAGGGCTGCTATGTCTAATTGCCACAAGAAATGGGGTAAGACCATCACGTAATGGCGCATCGACTTCTTCCTTATAATTGTTGATCCCGTTCTCCAAAATCTCAGGAAGATTGAAGGCTGCTCCCAGCATTCTAAGACGACTCTTGGATGGATATTGATTTGATTGTGGAAGATCACCCAACACCTCGTCTACAACATCCGTGATCTGGCTTTCCATGCTTCCTGAGTAGTTATAGGCGTCGATTTGAGCGAACCACCACTTTAATGAAGGGCTCAGCTTGGCACTAAGAGCAAAGCTTTTATAGAGAGGTTCCCTGCATCTCCTTCCTGGGACAGAATTTTTGGCATGATAGGCCCAATAACAGATGGAATATCTTTCAAAAGTAAAAAACTCCCAACCCAGTTTCCTTGTCTGGTTTCTCACGTTGACATCATATTCGTGCTTTATTCTTTCAACCGACTCAAATCTTTTTGGCGCCATGAAAGCTAGGCAGGTCTTCATCACAAAAAAGTGACATTCTTCACATTGAAACTCGACTTTCACAGCGCAATGATTGGTGAGATACTCCTCGACCGATAAGTGGGCGAATCGAAAATTGCCTTCCGAATTTTGAATAACAAAGTTGCTACAGCACTAGTTGAAACCAGGTTAGTGTTTACTATAATGCTGCACCATTATCCAAGATTCATCTTACATGCAACACAACTTCTGTGCTCAAAGGACTTCGCGTTATTCTCTGAAGTTTAGGATCATGATCAAGCGACAGCTCGATAACTTTAAGAACCTCGTCTGCGCGCAGTGCAGTTTTGCAGCATAATAGCCATTTGCAAACTGACTTGAAGACGCTAGTACTGTAAGCTCCTGGCTTTGTCTTCATCAAATATACCGTTTCGTATGCACTGTTTAAGGATTGCTCCAAGGAAGTGTTCCGATTTTTAATATTCAACAGCTGGATCTCAATATCTTCGGGCAAAAATGTTTGAGTTTCGATCGGAAACATTATTGCAAGCTGCAAGGTGACCCATTTGAACCTAAGATTGCGTTAATGACTCTGCATGTATTGGATAGGTATACAACCTACATTCCACCTGCAAGATTTGATAGAACTAGCACTATCTGATCCATGAGTTGTCGCTTGGTTTTCTCGTCATTACAACCAATGTCTTCCTCTTTAGATTTCACTTCGCTTTTAATGTACTCAGTCATATCCTTCAATGTATCTTCGGTGGTCAAAATAACACCCTCTGATGCAGTGAAAACCTTGTCCACATCCACATCCAATCGACTTGAAAAAACAAACTTGATACCATCAAGCTGCTTGGCCTGAAGCTTTCTCAATTTTGCTAGAAGCTTGCTGAAATCAACGCATTCGTCAAGGGCATCTATGACAATGATGACTGTACTGACTCGTTGACACAATTTTAGAAGCGCGGCCGACCACTCATCGGTTGTCGGTATAGTAGGGTCAGGTGGCTTTGCATCATTAAACATGGAAACGATGCTAGCTTCTATTGCATTTCCATCTAACGTCCATGCCAGCTGGGACACCAGACTTCGAATAACATTATCTGATGTTGTTGGCGAGATACAATAGAAATAAATCATGCGCTGATCATCTTGTCTGGCTACATCAGAATAGAACGATTGAACGATGGTAGACATGATTGAAGTCTTTCCAACTCCAATAGTCCCTCGTAGCCAAAACACAGGCGCTGCATTTTGATGCAGCCATTTGGTATATTTCTCGACAATCCATTCTCCGGCATGTGGGTACTCCGAAAGTAATTGTCGAGCAGTGTAATGCTGTGAAATATGTGGTTTATCAGATATCCATTGAATGACTTCAAGATTTTTTTCATCGGTCCTGTCTAGCTGTAAAATCAGCTCTCGTAGTTCGGTTTCAAATCGCTTGTGGTTTTGCGAGTCATTGAGTTGTAGATCGCTCATGAAATTGTTCTTGCAATCTTCGACCTCACCGAGCAACTTTTTCCACTCATCTTTCCTGACAATCGATGCAGCGTGTCTTACAATTGTGTTTCTGTTGAAATTATTAATTGCAGTCGCCTCATACCGAAGTATCTTCCAGTACAGAGTCGAAATCGATTCTTTCAGTTGCTTCTCCGATTTGCCTTGTGAGAAATTGAGGTAGTCCCAGCTGAGAGATGTAAATTGTTGGACGATTTCTACAACTTTTTGTAGCCCACTTAATGCCGCCTCCTGTTCTTCGGAGTGGTTCAAAATGAGCTATGAAAATCAGCGCCAGTCAAGAGAGAGTGATATCATACCTACCGGTAATAAAACTGATACGCAGGCCCATGGAATTCCTGCATGAATGGGGTCAAGTCCAGCGGCTGTGTCTCCAATTGGCTTGATTAATTTGAAGATTTTTACAATCTTATCAAACTGTGGTCCAATTTTAATTGCTTTCTTGCGCCAATAAAACACCCATTGCTTGTCCTCCATTATACGACGCTTTCTAAAAAGTAAGTCGCCAAGCTCTTGTTCTTGTCCCACATTGTTCTTGAAATTGGAATCCTTTTTTATGATCGACTGCAATCGTTCGTATAGATCGAAATCTTCGTGCTTAAATTTTTCATATGCTTCTTTTCACAAAATGTCATTCTGATTCGCCAAAGCCATGAAGGCTGCTGATGATTCTTGAATGGACGCCATTATTGAGTCTCTATTTGTTAAAGTTCTCAAAACTTACAGACTATTCTAGAGTCGGATAATCAAAAACACTCGTCGCAGTCGTCATCATGCTGCGATGCTCGAAATGTTGCGTGCATGACACCTTGTCAGCATCACGTGGTTGTCAGCCTCAATGCAACCATCATTTGCCAATTTACTGCTGAGCCAAAGAAAAGACACGAACTCCATATTTCTACCTACCTATTGCACTGCGCATTTTCCTTGTCGGTATTGATGAACAGTTCTGTAGAACTGCGAAGGGAATTTCAAGTAAAGTGACCGCAGAACAAAAATATTAAACTGGGAAAGGAGCATTGAGTCGCATCTGCCAAGCTTGCACACGTGATGCAATATCTTATTGCGCCTACCATGCGCTGTCTCTCTGAGTATCGGGACTCTTTGAATGAGCTCGTATTTATTAAGATCTAATTATCCTTCTGCCATCATCTACGCATCCAGCTCTTAAGTTCACGATCATCAAGACGGGTCTTGCGCATTATTCTTGTTCAAGTCCAGGTCTTCAGTAAAAAGAGAAGTAATAAGACCAAGACCCTGCCATCGTGCAGAAAATAGTCTTAAAGCACCCAAGATAAATTCTCAAAACGGCATCCAGGACCTTTGGGGATGTTTCCAGGGATCTCAGCTCTGAAATGAAGGAAACAGCTTTATTTGGGTTATTGAGCTGAGACAGAGATCCTGTCAATTCAATAGAAGTAATGGAAGCAGAAAATACAGAATTGAATATCGTTGACGCAACCGTGAGTCCAATGAGACCTCCAAACATTCGAATCGTCAGCAATAGTCCGATTGCCAAGCCGGTATCATCGACATTTTTTACGCTTGCCTAAATAGGAAGCAAAAGGAGACGAAGTGAAGACACGCCCATTCCCCAAAGAATAGGAAGGCCAAATAGTAGTGATGATGGCGAGCCGACGTCAACAGGTGGTAGCAATCCAGTTCACAGGATTATGATAATCCAGCCAAATCGTATAATCTAGACATATTTTCCAACGACCGAGACCATCATCATCGAGATAGCTGCGAATACTACGCTAATGACGACGGTGGGAAATAAGGAGACCGCAGATCGAATCGCTGTCTCAAGCTCCACGGCCTGGCAAAACAAAGGCAGATACTGTAACAGCGAGATCAGGATCATGCCATGTACGAAGGCCGCCGCTAAGGTCATGTTTGCAGTTCTCGAGTGGAAAAGACGATGAGGTAGAATAGGCACACTGGGCTTAGCTTCATATAACACAAACATAACAAGCAAAGCGGCACCTAGAAGTATTGGGAGGAGCGTTTGCCACGACTTCCAGGGGGAAAGAGAGCCGGCCCAACTGAGTGGTAGAACGAAAATGGTGATAGCAGTTACAACTAGCATCATTCCAACCCAATCGAGTTTTTTTTAGGTTGGCAGATAGTTTTTCATCGAGCTCAACTGGTCGTAAATGGAGAAAGAAAACAATAAGAGGCGCGCTGATTCCTAATATTGGCAAGTTCACCCATCCAATCTACCTCCAGCTTGCATAATTACTAAAAATGGCTCCAATTGACGGTTCAAGAACATTCCCTACGGCATTGGAATTGCCATTAATCCAAGATAGAATGAACGTTCTTTCAATATTGTAATATCCGAAAGTATAATTTCTACAAGCACGTCGATTCCTCCTCCGCCAAATCCTTGAAGCACTCGACCGACGATAATGGCATTCATGTCTTTTGCAAGCGCAAAAACGATTGAGCTGATGAAAAAGAATACAATGCATATATAGAAAGATGTCTTTCGACCGAAGACATCTAACATACTGGCCCAAGGTGGTTGCATGATGAGACCACACAGAGTATAGGACATGTTGGCCCAGAAGCTCTGCAAACTTTCGCCATGCAATTCTTCCGCTACAATCTAAATGAAGAATGAGCATTAGCATAGTCTTATAGTCTTTTGCAGGAAGATATAAGCTTGAGATAGATGCGGTATAAGGAGGTGAGGAATCTAGAGGGGCTCACTGGGAGGGCAATTCCAAGAGACGTTGCATCTATTTGGAAAACAAACATACTGGCAGCGAGACCTGTAAAAGCAAGCTTGAAAGATAGTAACTTTTTGGGTTTTCCTTCGATAATAGCTTCGTCGATATTTTTGAGAATTGTTTCTTGCAGTGCACCATCAACATGATTGGTTGTGACTTCCGTCACTTCGGCCACTGTTTTTGGATCCTAATTTGATTTTTCTTCGAGAGATGTAGCCATCACGACGGTGACATTGGTGTCAATTTAATTCATACTTGATGGTACAACATTTGGAAAGGTTTCGACAATTTTGTAAATCTCGAAATCGCTAAATATAAGGAGCCAGGAAGTCGTGTGTATCTTGCACTCTAACCTATGTACCCCTGAGTAAATCTTCGTGGTTCTTGGTACCTCACACGTGATGTAGGTGCTGAACGAGCACTAGCTTTCGAAAACCTGATTCCAGGCATTGCCGTTAATTTTAGAGACCACAGCATCCTTGACACTGTAGGTCTTGTCAATAAATTCACTCAAGTTTCTATGTGCGCATTGCAATATCTAGGAATCCGAATCGGGAAAACTCTGTGTACCGAGATAGATACAAATGTTACATAAGCGACACCGTGCTTGGACCCCCACTTCCGACTACTTTACATAGCCGAAATGATAGGCAGTAATTGACCAGCCTCTAATTAGAAGGAATTTATATTTATATTTTGTGGGTTCGCTGTATGATAAAGATAACGAAATATTGTTTTCGAAATAGAGAATTTCTGAATCTTTGTTTGGCTGTTTCAGACCTTGACACATTATTTGAAATGGATCTATGATTCAGGGACATTGAGAGCCGTCAAATGCCGCCAGTTTTTTTCGGCCACGTAGAGCCTCCCTGTCTCAGATCATCGAAATGATTGGCTTCCATTTTACCAACAGACATAACTGCCGCAAAAGACTCAAATTTGCATACCTAATGAAAGCAATGTCGATCGTCCCGTAGATCTTAACAAAACTTGCTTTTTTGATGATGTAGGTATATATGCTCCTGACGATAAAAGAAGATGGTCTCTTCAGCTTGCGAAAATGACTGAACTTAGCAGTCGTACCAAAAAAATTCGATTGAAGATGAAGAAACTCGTTCAAAGAGCCAAGGATCATATACGTTCTGGTTCATCCTCTTCTCAGACTTCCCCTTCGGATTCTGCTCGCCCCGTTAATAATATTCATCAATCTCGGCCCTCCACTATCTCTCAGCCCACTGTTAGTGAAATTCTCCGTTATCGTTATCACTTTGGTGTCAATCTTGGTTCAATTTTTGTTCTCGAACCATGGCTTTTCCCTAAATTTGTAGGAGGTGCGTCTTCGGAGCTCGACGCTGTAACTTCTTCTGTTAAAAACAATGGTGTGGAAGCTACCCGGCAAAAATGGGAGGGACACTGGAAAAACGCAGTTACCGATCAAGCTTTCGGGTGGTTGGCTAAATCGGCAAAAGGAACCAGTATCCGATTACCAGTCGGGTATTTCACACTCGGACCACAATTCTGTGTTGGGACACCCTTTGAGAGTGCCAAAGACGTCTATCAAAATTCCTGGACGATAGTTAAAGAATTCATCACTCGTGCTCGCGCACTTGGAGTGGGGGTCCTCGTGGACCTCCACGCTCTACCTGGAGGTGCAAACACAGACATGCATTCGGGATCTAGTACCGGAAAAGCAGAACTTTGGGGTTCTAAAAAGAACCTCGAGCTTGCGAAAAAGGCGCTTTTATTCATCGCAAAAGAATGTAAGGAATTGGATGGAGTCATCGGTATTCAGCTCTGTAACGAAGCATGCTGGGATGCCGGGAAGAAAGGAATGTATGATTTCTACACCTCCGTCATTCAATCTATCTCCGAGATCGACTCCGAAGTGCCCATCTACATAAGTGATGCATGGGATCTCTCTTCTGCTTTGAAGTGGACCAAAGAACGAGACTGGAAATCTGGAAAGGTTCCCAGCAACCCCGTCGTCATTGACACACACAAGTACTACACGTTTGCGGAGAAGCATCGCTCACAAAGCGCCCAAGAGCTAATCCATCAAATCCCTACTGAACTCGGCGAACTACCTAATTGTAGCCCAAGTGCCACACATCTCTCATCTGGCGGAGAAACCCAAATTGTAATTGGCGAATACAGTTGTGTGCTTGACGAGAAAAGCTGGGCAAAATCTCCACCTGCTATGAAAGAAGAATTAACTCGGGAATTCGGACGGCATCAATGCAACAAATGGACGGAGGGGTGTAGTGCGGGAAGTTATTTCTGGACATGGAAAATGGAGTGGATGGATGGAGGAGGATGGGGGTTTGTGGAACAGGTTAAGAAGGGGAATATAATTGCTCCGGCTTATATGAGCTGGTCTGTGGAAGAAGTCAAAGAAAAATTGATGAAGGCAGAAATGCAGAAGGATGAGATTATGCAGAAGATGGTGAAGGACCATGTAGATTATTGGACGCATGAAGATCCTGAAAAGGAGTTTCGGCATGACTTGTATGAAAAGGGGTGGAAAGTCGGGTGGGAGGACGCAGCGGCATTTTTTGAATGGAGGGGAGAAAAGGGCGGAGCAGATAGACTTGGATCCTTGGAAATTTGGATCAAAAAACGACTGATAGAGTCTGGAGAGCGAGGAGAGTTCTTGTGGGAATTGGAACAAGGGTTTAGATGGGGTGTCAGAGAGTTCGAGAATTGTGTTGAGATAGCTTGATCTTCAAGTGGGAAGCAGAAAGATTGTTAAGCTGAAGCTTATAGGGAATGGCGACTTATGCTGCGTGTCTTCACAAAAAAGCTTCTAGACCACCGGTATAATATTTCTATTAGGATTCCATTTTGCTTGATCTCGCCAGTCGCCAACTTATGTTCCAATTTTCTTGGGGGGTATCCCAACTTCGCCATGGTATCTTAGACAACGATTTGAACCTTCTATTGATCGTAGTATTCTAAAGTTCTCGGCTCCTACGGTCACAATGACTTTGCGCGACGACTTCGCACTTTGATGTTTGCATCCATGTTTGCCAGAAATGTACCTTCAATTGCCATCCCTTTGGGCGACTGTCTAATTTCCGATGCCCATTCAATATCATACTCGTAGATCAGCCGACCAAAAACGAGCTTCACAAGACGAACTGCGAAGAACCTTCCTGGACATGATTGTTTTCCATATCCCCACCTATAAACCAAGAGTTAGACGTCACTCCACACATGGTATCGGATTTCGAAGGAAGCTACAAACTTACGAAAGAAACTTTTCGTCTACTGCAGACGAATGAATCCTTCCTTCGCTCCGTGACGAGAACTCCGGTCCAGCAAATCTGAAGCCGTCGAAAATAGATGCATCTTTATAATTATCGGGATCCATATTAGTGGAGACGGTTGGGAATGCTATCCGACTAAAAGGCTTTAAGGTAAAGCCATCTGGAAACGTAAGCGTTTCCATTGCCGTGCGCTGTCCTGAGAAACAGGCTGCAGGGTTATGTCTGAGTGTCTCCCTAATGAAACTGTCCAAAAGTCTCAGAGAACTCAGCATCTTCTTGTCATTCCATCCTTCATGTTGCTGAAGAGACAGGTCAATCTCGTTCCTCAGAGGTTCTAGATATTCAGGATACATTAATATCTTCCAGATCAGATTATAAACCAGACTAATAGATGTCCCTGTACCAGCAAAACTCAAATGAATAATACGCTTTGCGTGTCGTCTGGCATCATTTTCTCGGTGTGATGGTAACGTTTGATCCACTGCAAATTGTATGACATCTATGGGTTTATCCATCACCTGTGCTGTACGCTGTTCCATTCTTTTCTGGATAGCAGGAACAATATACTCTGTGGCTCTCCGAAGATCCCAGCGGAACTTCACAGAGGCTAGCCAGTAAAAGGACTTTCGGAACGGACCAAGTGGTAGGAAGTTCCACAGCACACCGCTGATAAACACAGTCATGGTATATTTCTGGCACACCTTGGTATATTCTGCATCTCTGCAGAATTCTTTTCCTACAAGTACCCTGCTAGAGATGTGATGCACTAGATTTGTACAAAGACTATAAGCATTAAAAGTTTGGTAATCTCTTGAGAAGTTAGCAAGAAGTCGCCGTTCCTGAAAATATTCAATAAGGTCAACACGAACCATGCAATTCCCCCAGCTGATCCTTAAACTTATATTCTGCTTCGTCTGCCAGAAGCGCAATTATGGGGCCTGAGAAGTCAACGATTGACCAAATATGGTGTTTCATCCAAGATACTTACTACTTTTAAGATTCATATGTCTTGCGACTAAATCGATTTCCATATCATTGGCAATTGCAGTATCGCCCACAGTAGCCTCCATTTGCATATTCTAAGTTTCAAAGATTAGCTCGTATGTTTCGTTCCGAGAGCACAGAAAAACACTTACATCATTGAGGTGCTGAGCGAAATTTAAAGCATGACGATCGAATTTCTTCAGTGAAGGTAAATATTTCGGGGGCATAATCATAGCATCAACTCCAAACAGTTTAACCACAAATGGAAGCCCATGTTTATTGAACTTCAGCAATGGTCAGCTTCCAGCTCGCCTGGCATTTTTCCATATGGAAACTTTACCTTCTTGTATCCCTCAGCTTCATAATCCTGAAGACGCAAAAAAGCAGTCGGTTCCCAGTCAATCAAAGATTTCAGAAATCCCCTTGTAATTTTTGGTACACTGGGGTATGTGGGGTGACCATTTCCTACCCGGACCGCAATGAAGGCGACGATGGCAACACAGATGACAAAAGAGAGCCATGGATTAATTTGCATCATGGCCGACAGAGACTGAGGAGTTTGAAAGATTGCTATGAATTACTGAAGATACAATGAGCTACATTCAAAATTCCTGTCAGACAGTCAATTAGTTTAGTACCTCTCGGCGTTTATTTCGAATTGAAACACCGAAACATTCACGAACGCCGGAAACGATTTTGGGTAGTGGGATTTCATTTGCCATGGAGAAATCATTATCGGATGATGGAATGCAGATCTGACTGTAGTATGTGTATTTGAAAGTATTCATTGTGCCCATCTATTACAAATCATCTATGTAAGACTGAAAGTGACCCTTCTCATGTAGTTGCAATTCAGTACATCCAGTGACAAAGCTCGCCTCATTTATTTCTCGTTCAATCTCCCGTACCCTACCGTCAAACATTGTTCGAGAACTGTACCAAATGATCATGCAAGTAGATCCCGGATGTTATGGAGACTGCAAGTCCTTCTGCAATCTGGTCTCTCAACATGCCAATCTTCATCCTGACAGTATTGCCCTATCTTATAACGGCGACACTTTATCATATGCTGAACTGGAAACGCAATCCACACGAATTGCGACCCTTCTCTACAACAGAGGCGTTCGAACCAGAGACAAGGTGCCAATTCTTACATCGAGGTGCTCACTAATGGTGGTGTGTCTCTTAGCGATCTCCAAAATTGGCGCTTGCTACATTCCCATGGACATCACCTGGAGCTCTGAGAGGATCCGTATAGTTCTTAGTACTATCAACGCGGATATAATGATAAGCACAGAGTCTGAGACGGGGACAATAGTGAGTAACAACATGGTTCTGAAGAGTGAAATTGAAGCAACCCTAGGCCAAAGGAATGGAGAAAGTCAATTGTATCATCACGTGGGTTATGAGAACCTCGAGGACCCCGCGTACATCATTTTTACCTCTGGGACGACAGGAGTGCCAAAAGGGGTAGTGATCTCTAATGCAAGCCTCTTCAACTATGTGCAGCAAGGTGGTGTATCCAAGCCTTTCAATATGAACGTAAAGCCAGGGGATAAGGTGGTGTTATTGTTTTCAATTGGATTTGACGGTATGTTGTGCCACCAATCACTTGAGTCTATGCGTGCAGCGCTAACATTTTGAAGCATGCACTGGAGTTCTTTTTAGCACTCTATGCAATGGTGGTCAGCTAGTACTTTCTAGTCAAACTCGATTTATAGACGACTTGAAGACATGTGATATACTGCCCATTACACCATCAGTGTTAGCGACAATCCAGTATCCAGAAAGTTTCACCAACATCAAGTCTATCTTTTTAGGAGGAGAATCACCTAATCACACTCTAATAAAGAAATGGTGGAGACCAGATCGAAAGATCTTTAATGCCTATGGCCCAACCGAGACAACAATCTCATCTAGCATCTTTGAGGTGTTACAGGATCAGCCAATACTATTGGGCAGCCCCATGGAAGGAAGCAGAATTCTGCTTCTCGATGAGAATCTCGAGGAAAGCGCTGAGGGTGAGATTTGCATTAGCGGCCCAGGACTCGCGATTGGCTACTTCAAGAATGAGGATATGACAAAACAAAAATTCATCAATTGGAAAGGAATAAGAGTTTACCGCACCGGTGACTTTGGCCGTCGAAATGTTGATGGAGATGGTATTATTTTTCTAGGACGACAAGATAGCCTGGTCAAGAATCGAGGGTTCCTGATAAATCTAGAGACTGAAGTGGTACCTGCACTGAGGGCATTTGAAGGTGTTACCGCTGCTATCGCCTTGTTGCACGAAGGGCGATTGGTGGCTTTTATTGCGCCTAAAATTGAGCCATCCCTAGTGCGCAATTGGTTAGCACGACATTACGATACGTTCCTTGTCCCTGACATCCTTCACTCGTTCTATTCTCTCCCTCTATCACACAATGGAAAAGTAGATATACCATACCTAAGAAGCCAGTTGCAAGATGTTCCAGAACCCCAAGAGATAGATAACAAAAGAGGAACAACAATGCAAATATTAATATCAGGAGTCGCGCTGGCCCTTGGTATTTCTGAGAGTAAAATTTGTCCCAAAAGTTCTTTCTGGGACCTGGGAGGCAATTCTCTGTCTGCCATGAAGCTTTTATCATACTTACATAAACACAACTTGACTCTATCTGTTGTGGATCTATTCTCCTCACAAAGCCTCCGCCTCACAGCCTCGTTGGTCCACGCTATTGACACTGGTACCAGTCAAATCACTACATCGCAAGATGAAAGCAAAATGGACAGCTTTTCACATCAATTAACTGAATTTCCAATGACGGTAGTTCAATCAAGCATGATCAAAGCATGTCTGCGTAAGCCACTTGCTAATTATCTACTTATTTCTATATCATGCGATGACTGCGAAGTCTTAGAAGCTGGTCGCTTGAAGAGAGCATGGGAAATGATAATAAAGCGGCACCTTATATTTTCAACTACCTTCGATCTTCTCAAAGGCACACAAGCGACCTCTGAAGTAAGCGAGATTGACTGGATCGAGATTTCGAGCCATAGCAAAAATATCGAATCTACTATCCGTAACGTATCGGATGAGCTGTTGTCTCTACCTGAGACTCCGTGCACCGGGCATGCCTTTCAACCTGTCAATGCATTTCGAGTAATTCGAGATCACAAACGAAGTTTCAATTTGTTGTGGCTTGTACATCATAGCCAGATAGATGGTTGGTCTATGAGTATATTGATGGAAGACCTGAAAGCAGTACTTGGTGGAAAGGCACTCTCCTGCCCTGGAAAATTCTCCGATTTCGTTCATAAGCGAAGTCGGTACGTTGAGAAAACGCGTGAAGGATCAGTGGACTTTTGGAAAACCATTTTCCATGGCCACTCCCCTACCTACAGTCTAAAACGATCAAAGCCTGATATGAATAGACTGGAAGATGAATTGATTTCATTTCCCGATGAGGTCCTGAAACTCGGGATCTCTTGTGCAAACCTCGAAGCAAGCTCTCGAAGACTGAAAGTGTCAGTCCCTGTTATCATTTATGCGTCTTTATCATTACTTCTTCGAACTTATTTGGCTGATGACAAGGTGAATTTTGGAGTAGTCATATCAGGACGCAGCTTAGCGGTGCCTCTTATTCACAACACCGTCGGCCCACTCATCAATACATGCCCCTTTCCCGTGGATTTAAGTGGCTCAACGAATAAGATGGATTTGCTTAATCATGTGCAGGAAAGATTGCTGAAAATCATAGACCAACAATGGTCTGCGGCAGATTATCTTGAATCTATTCCAGGTGATAACTCCTGGCTGTTGAATCCAATTGTAGCCATAGAATACGATTTACCCGAGATCCCATGTCCAATCAATTCTGGAACATGGAAGTTCCAGTATAAATCCTTTGTGGAATCCGGGTTGACCATCTCGATTGGAAAAGATCAAGGTGAAATGTTCACACAGTTTCAGTATAGCACCAAAGAATACGAACCGGCACTGATGAAACGGATGCAACAGCATTTTCATAACATTATTCATGGCATCATCGACCAGTCGACCGATACTACATTGCATGTCCGCGACAAAATGATGAATCAAGCAGAAGTTGATAGCTTGGTGTATCCACCACAGATCGGACCTTACTTGGATGATATGAAAACCCTAAAAGACTCATTCGAGCAGGCAGCAGATCAGTGGCCACAATTCTCCGCACTTGAGTCGCATGATGGGTCACTCACCTATCTAGAATTGGAAAATAGGGCTAATCATGTTGCAACATATCTTGCTAAATTCATTAAACCGAATGATGTTGTGGCAACTTTGAGTGATGGGTCTTTGTCATGGATTGTAACCGTCTTATCTATCATGAAAGCCGGTGGTATTTACGCACCTGTTGACTCCAAGCTTCCGGCAAAGCGAAAAGGACAAATAATTCGACAGGCAAAGGCAATGATATATATAATCCCTTACGAAGACTACGGCGAAAGCCTGCGAATCGCTGGAACCCGCACCTTGTTCTTGAGAAGTATTATCAAAGAGCCACTTCTCAATACTTCAAGATTGAAAACAAAAAACAAGCCCAGTGATGCTGCTTATTTGATCTTCACCTCCGGTTCGACTGGCCATCCTAAGGGAGTCAAAGCAAGCCATGGACCGATCTTATCTTATCTTGCATCCCCGGAGTCGAGGCTGCATTCTAAACCTGGGAGAAGAAATGCACAAATGCTATCGGTCGGATTCGATGTCAGCATCGCTGAGATATTCGGCACACTCTGCTATGGCGCTACCCTAGTTTTAAAAAATCCGGCGCATCCATTCTCACATCTCACCACAGTTGACGCTACTATGGCAACACCATCCTTGCTTTCAAGCCTTGTAACTGAGGAATTCAATAATCTTGATACTATATTTCTTGCCGGAGAGGCAGTTACCCAAGGGCTTGTAGATCGGTGGGCTGTAAATGGTCGTAATTTGTACAATGGTTATGGGCCTTGTGAGTGCACGATCGTCGTTCTCATCGCTAGTCTTCGGAGAAATCAAGAGCCAACAGTCGGCAAACCTGTTCCAAGAACTGCTTGCTATATACTGGATTCTCAGAGACGACCAGTACCGATAGGGCTACCAGGAGAGATTTGTATCAGCGGACTGTCGGTTTCGCAGGGATACCTTGACAATGAGGAGGAAACCTGCCTTCGGTTTGTTCGCGATCCATTCTGTCCTGGACAGACGATGTACTGCACTGGAGACATTGGAGTATGGACAGAATCAAAAGAGGTGCGGTATTTGGGCAGAGAAGACAATCAAGTCAAAGTTCGGGGATTCCGTATCGAGCTTGAAGAGGTCGAGCAAGCAATTATGTCAGTTTGCAGATTGGCAACAGGTGCAGCAGCAGTAGTCCAGAATGATAACATTTATGCATTTGCTACTCCTGCAACTGTGGATGTTGGTTCCATACAACGTGAGCTGCAGAACATTCTGGCGTATTACTCTCTGCCTACTAGAATATTTGCAATGGACCGCTTGCCACTTAGTCCGAATCTAAAAATCAACAGAAATGTTCTCCGGGACCTGATCATATCAAATGGACACCAATCAAATGGAGAAAGGGCTAGCACTGTAATGGAAAAGTTGATCGAGAGGATTTGGAAAGAAATTCTCAATCTGAGCGATTTCGTTGAGATTGGGACAGGTGACGATTTTTCAATGCTTGGCGGCAATTCTTTAATGCAAATCAAAGCATTACAGAAGCTGTCGGATATGTTGGCCTGCAATATACCATTGCAGCTTCTGATCTGTAACACGACACTCTCAAGTCTGGCTGCGACGCTTGAGCAATATTGCACGCATGATCGGAGGCGCGCATTTCGTGCCTTTAATGGGAAGCTTTTAGCTCCACATAGTGCTGTCTCTTATTTGGAACAGGAGATACACAGCCTCCAGGTCACTTCACCATCTTCTTCGAGCTTCAATATAGTGTGCAAACTTGCGCTACGGGGAAGTCTGGACCTTACGCTTCTCGCTAAAGCTGTAAATACTCTCATCTCCACGAATGACATGTTGAGAACTCGATATAAAACCATTAATGGCCATTTACAACGATTTGTTTCCGAGGATGTACTCCCAACTAAGATTCTGAAGTCCGCCAATGAGTTGTCCATTGGAAATCTAATCAATGCGCCTTTCGACTTGTCTAACGATCAACTCATTCGATCAGTCGTGGCGGAGGAATACGATCAGACCATTCTGATAATCGTTTCACATCATATTATCGCAGACAAAAGATCTTTAAACATCATGTTGACCCAGATATCTCGGAATTATATCGATATGAAATACCGACAGCCTCGATCAGATCTGGGCAAGTCAGATCCATCGTATAACTCTTGGATCAGCTGGTTCCCCCAAAGCCCTTCGATGCTGTCAAATAGCCAAACGAAACAATTCTGGGAGGAATTTCTACAGCCACTCCCGCAGCTATTTCCACGTTGGCAATTCTCATCTGGTATCGCCACTGGGGCGTCGCAGTATCTGGACATAAGTGAGAGGCTCTCGCCGCATAACGTATCCGGTACTTATCTCGCCGCATGTGCAATTGCCATTTCAAAGCTGTTCTATGTAGATAATGTCGTCCTCGGTATCCCATACAGCAATCGAATGGAAGCAGAGACGCATAATATCTTGGGGACCTTCCTAGATCGCGTGCCAATTAAGATCGATTGCAGCAGCACAAACATTTATAATATTGAGAGCTTCGTTGACTCTGTCCAAGCTAGTTATAAATCTGCGTTAGCTCATGTTGTGCCTTATTGCGAACTTGCATCTCTGATGGATGCAGAGAACTTATTCGACGTCATGGTCATATTTCACAAGAAAGAAGATTCACATGGAAGCAATCTTGTCATACCTGAGATCGAAGCTTCCAATGTGATTAAAAAGTCAGACGGAGTACAGTTTCCTTTGATGATAGAGTTCTTCGAAGAGAGTATGAGAATGGTATGTTTGATAAGTTATGCCACAAATATGGTCACTTCCGCAGAGATCACTGCTCTTTCTGGTATTTTGCTAGAGACGTTGGAATCTTTGGCTGGAAAGGAAATTCCCTGAATCATAGTTACACATACTATATAGGGTATATGGAATGAATAGCTATTCAGTATCTTTATGGATTCTAATATGTTCGAGGGAGAATGAGCCGATAGTGAAGGATGTCTGTAGACTGACTGGGGAGTTGCAAAGACCGTCTATCGCTCTAATTTAGGAACCTCGGCTGCTCTGACATATTTCTACGGCGGCCCAAACCACTACACAGGAAATACAGCACAGCACAGCACAGTTATTAAACTATCAAAAGACTTTCTGCATCGTGAACTTCTGATCTGTTACATAAATTAGAATATTGGCATTAATGAGTATGAGTACATAAGTAGCTGAAAAAGGATAAAAGGATTCATTTTTCATTCGAACTGATCGCAATTCGCTCTCTACAACTCATTTCGATGGCTTTTCCAATGATTCAGAGTTCTTCACCAATCCATCATCCGCGGGAGCCCCTTTCATCGATTTCCATTCTGTTCCTAGAGCCCCGATGATAGATGTACAACTTAATGCCAGGGCGACATAAAATGTGTTAACAACAGCATTGCTATATATCTCCAACACACGTGGAAGTTGGCTTTGATCAAATAACATCGGAATATTGGTTGCGCCAGTCTGCAGTAGAGTACTCGTCTCGACGTTCGGAAACACCGTGTGTATATCCACCAACCCATTTTGGAAGACACTTTGCGATACCGCCACGAATATTGCACCACCAACCATTTGAAAGAGACTTATCAAGGCCACACCAAATGGGACATCTTCACTTGGTAACACCGCCTGGACAACCAACATAGGTTGCTGTAGACTACATCCTATGCCAAATCCGAAGAGGACTTGATATCCAATCCATTCTGATGAACTTGTATTAACATCAAATGTGGTGAGGAGACCGGCACCAATTGATGTCAGTACAGCTCCTGTGATCATCGCTGGGTTTGTATAGCCAATCATGTTCGTGAGAGCTCCCGCAAGAGCAGACATAACAATGAAGGCAAGAATAAGCGGAGTGAGCATCACACCTGATCTGAGCGCGGATGCGTGCCGGATAGCCTGAAAGTATATTGGGAGATATGTAACGGCGACGAACATTGCTGCAGATGAACATGCAGCGAATAATCCTGCAAACCACAGACTTCTACTCTTAACGATTGCGGTTGATACAGTCTGGGATCCCTTCAGCCATTTCTCCATGCAGAGAAAAACTAGGAAAAGAACCCCAAACACAACAAGGAGCGCAATGACCCGAGCACTATTCCAAGGGTCCTTCGAGCCTCCCAGTTGCAGTGCTAGAATGAGGCATATCAAGCACGCAAGAACCATGATCATCCCAGGGAGGTTAAATCGTTTTATCTTTTCTTGAACAGAAAAGCCTGCTGTACTTGGATTGGAGATCTTGTTCACAAAAAAAGCTACGGCAACCATAGTAAGAACCCCGAGGGGAAGATTGATCGCGAAACACCATCGCCAAGTACTTTTATCAGCAAGAGCTCCGCCAATAAAGGGTCCAGCGACACTGGCCAACCCAAACATCCCAGTAACAAGGCCGAGAAGACCTGCTCGCTTTTCTAGCGGTGCAGATTGTGCCAGAATCAAAACTGCTCCTGACATAAGTCCAGCAGCGCCGACTCCAGCGATAGCTCTCCCAAGAATGAGAGCAATAGAATTAGGTGCTGTTGCACATATGAGCGAGCCAATATTGAATACTAACAAAGCGCCGAGGTATACATATTTCACTGGTGCAAGACTGTACATCTTCCCGTAAAAGAGTTGAAATGTTGCAGTGGTAAGCAGGTAGGCGGATGTCCACCACCCGACATCGCCAAGCGCATGAAAATCATCGGATATTTTTGGTACGGCTGTCGCAATAATGGTTTGATCCTGTGTTTAGACTAGTCAGATGAGAGATTTGAAAGGATGTAGGTAGTTATATGTACCAAACCGCAGAGAAACACTGCCATACATTGTGAAAATACAATAGCAGACAACCTTAGCGGGTCAGGGTATTGATGCGGCTGATGCTGTTGGTTATTTTCATCATCGTGATGAGAAGCAGCGACTGGTCTTTGCGATGTAGTTTCAGTGGCGTCTTTCTGTTCACTTTGATCAGGTGGCATTTTTTGATGTGAATGCTCTAGGGAGATTCTTGATTCTTCCTGCTTAGACATTTCGATGGGAAATGAGCTGGATTTTTTGTTAGATTGACAACAAGAGTTACAAGACGAATGCAAGTAAACATGGGTATTTTTTCACGCCGCACGCAATGTCCAGGGGTTGCCAAAATAGAACTCCGATCGGCGAGTACTTTGTTGGCTAAAACCCCATTCAGCCAGAAATCACAAACACGCACAAAAATTTATTCGCACCGGAAATTATCACATTAGAAATGGCCGGTGTAGATCTCTTCGACTCGAGTACAGACAAATGGTACTTTTCCTATGGATCCAACATGTCACTCTCTGTCATGATGAAACGCGGCGATCTAAACCCGCGCCGCGTGGAGGTCGCTTGTTCGGAGACCTACTCTCTATGCTTCAATGTGCCTGGAATTCCATATACGGAGCCAGCGATGGGTGGTATATGTGAACGAGTTGACGTGGACCAAGAGCCTGTGTACGGCGTTTCGTACTTGCTCACTGAGAAAGAGTTCAGTCGACTAATAGCGAGCGAGGGGTAAGTCGAATGTTTCCATTCCCAATTCGCGCTTGACTAAATATGGCAAGTGGAGGTATCGCTTATCGATCAATTCAGATTGATGTAAGCCTTCTCAGCGATGGATCCAATCTTTCTGTGTATACTTTAGTTCCTCGGCGGCCTGTGGCGTATGGCGCCCAAGCCCTTCCTTCTCCGCGATATCTGGTAAGATGTATAGCTAGAACCATTCTATTCTTGGCTTTTGCTTTCTTGTGATCTTGATCTCTGAATCATGGGTTGACTTTACCTATAGACCTTGTTGATTAATGGTGCAAGTGAGCATCATCTTCCCCAGCACTACCAAGATATGCTTCTTCAGCACCCTACTTTTAAACCTATACAAACAAAGAGGTGGCTTCTTGGTCGATGGCTGTTCGGTGCAGTATGGCATCCAGTTAGTCGTTTCATTCAAACAGGTGTACGTAAATACCGCAGCGATTCGGGCCACGTACCAAGGTGGTTTCTGATAGGATTTGACTGTTTACTTACGCTCATGTGGGCGCATCACGACTATATTCACGGGGTTTTATGGGGCCGTGGTGATGGGCGTTAACTATGGTCTCCAATGCTTAACGTAAAAATTCATTTCAATTATATGCTCTTGAACTATGATTCTGCTTCTGGATATACTGATTTAACTAAAGCGCAAAGCTCTTTATCCCACAGTGGTTTAACCTCATCTTCCAGGGGGAGTATTTTGTTTCCATAGCATGCAGCTGCTTTTTCTACCTCTTTCAAAACGCGAATGAGATTGTATCCAATGATCTTCTCCACGTTCTCTCTTGAAATACCTCTATTCAGCATCGAAGCCACAAGGTGTGGATATTTCGAGACATCTTCTAAGCCTTTTACGGCTTTAAACATTCCGTCATAGTCTGATCCTAAACCAATGTGATCAAATCCTATCTTCTCCGCAACGTACATTATGTTGTTGATAACATCATTAATGCTAGCAGCTTCGGGGTCGACATTATTGAGAGGGGGAATGAAGCTGATCATGACAATTCCTCCATTGACTTTAGTTCTATCTAAAGCCTCGTCACTAATGTTTCGGCCGCTTGCCACAATTCCTTGACTGTATCACTGTCAGCTACCGTCCAATATATTACGCAACAATTGAATTCAGTTACGATACTTACCATGAAGAATGAGTAAAGGCAACGGGTCCGGTAGAAACCTTTAACGTGTCTAATACTGTATCATTACTCGCATGTGATAAGTCGACTAGCCTAACATCTGGTTATAACATTTCTTTCGATTGTTGCGCTCAGCAGTTTACTTACATTCCTATCCGATTCATCTCTCGAATCATTGCCTTCCCTGCTTCAGACAATCCTCCATGGGCAGGCGCTTTTGCCGTCTTCGCTTTCGTTAGCAAGTGCTTGTCAGATGATCTAGATTCAACCATACTGCACTGTCTGCAAACATGTTGTTTTGGCCATGAACAACAGTCACATATCTAACTCCTAGCTTGTGATACATACGCAAGACACTGCTGCTATTTCCAACTTGGTGCAAACCTTCCACGCCGATGAGACAGACGAATTTGCGCTGTTTGAATATTCTCAAAATATCATCTGCCTCATTAGCAATCTCCCACTTTTCTTTGTAAAGCTCCACTAATCGATAGATCAAGTCAATCTGCTGTAATGTGTCTTTGACAGCCTCGAAAGAGCTACTTTCATTGGTATCATCGTCTGTTCGTGGACTAATTAATGCATCAGCTTATTAGCTCATACAGCATCTCAAGGAAAGAAATGGACAATTTACTCAGGCATAAAAGCACTCCAGAATGCGCCACCTGATTTTCCCTGTATAAGTCGTTTAATATCAACATGACCTGCCAGATTTTTATGTGGCTCAAATCGTGCATCCAGAGAGTTTTGATAATATGCTCGAATAAGATGAGGCCAATCATTATGGCCATCTACAAATACCAGTACGCGTTAGGCTCTTTCAATGTGGCAATGAGTGACCGCTCTTACCGATAAGTGGCACGGAATTCAAGATATCAAGTGCCTCGTTGAGGTTCTCGGTGCTAAAACAGGCCATGGCGAATGATAATTTTCGAAAGGATTGAGATGAATGCCAGGACAAATTCTGGGCATAATGGGAAAGTCTTACAACTAGCTTGGTTTCGTATTGGAATCCGACTCGGCGCCTATATTTACACAATGTTTTTTACTATTCCATGCGAGAAAATAAGACAATTTAAGCACCGAAAGGATTTGCACAGCTCGCGAGAATACCACAGACAACCAGCACGGCCATGCGCGGCAGTAAATTAGGCTTGAACCCTGAGAGTTCGACTTCTCTTGTCATTGATTTCAAATATAAATATCAGAAAAAATGAATTAATTTCAAAACTCCACTAGTTGATACTCGATTCCTATAATGATGCATGAACTTCAGTCTGGGGATCCTTTCGCGCAACAACAACATGAGTACGCCAGCAATTCCCTACTGTTCTCAACTCCTTCTCCAAGTCTACTCTTAATTGGCTGAGCTCTTGCGCTGATGGGAAGCCTGGTAATGCTATTTGATATATTAGTCTACGCTGGAATAGAATGAACCTAGAATAGTAGAATAACTCACTACCAAGAAGGACTTGAGCACCATCAAGTAGAGCGAGAAGTACCGAAATAGCTCTCTCGCTCTGTGCTTCATCCTCCTCAAGTGGTCCACATTTATTTACAATGATAGTTTCGTGCACTTCGGTAGCACCGGCTTGCTTCAGCCAATCCACAAGTTTTGGACCGGGACTGAGATTGTGCCCCATCATTTTCCAAGCTTTTGCCATCGTATCGCGGAATGATTGCATAGCTTGGTACTCAGGGCCTTCGAGAATTGTTTCCATATCTCCGTCGTGAAGTTGTATGTATCCACCAGCCTTGACACAGGCGAAGAGCTTACCGATTGCATCAACACTCTTTTCATCATTGCAAACTGGTAGTACGAATCTTTGATGAACTAAATCGAAATAGTTTTGATAGTCTTCGGGCCAAGAATCGAAGATGTTGTGAACAATAAGCTCGACGTTAGCTGGGTTTTCCCCAAGAAAATGCTGCGGGGAGATATCGGCCCCTATCAGTCTTGAAGTTGGGGATAGTGACTGTGCCAAATCTGTCAACCAATATCCGTCAGCAGTGGCTGAATCGAGGACCGTAAGATGAGGATTGGAGAAATCAATAGGCGCGAGCACAAGTTTATCGCCCATGTTGGCTTTGACTAGCTCATGCTGAATTCGGAGGCGTTCGTATTCTCCCGTGTGCCGTGGACCTTTGTAGGTATCCTTTTCATTGAGGGGGCCATTTCCAGTCGTGGAAGTAGTGTCCATGATTGTTTCTGATTATTTATCGCAATTCCGAATCCATTTTATGTGTAACATATATATAGGTACTTTAAAGTATCGAATCGCGAACTTGGCATAATACCAATGCGATTATTTCCCCGCCTCCTTCGGTGATTATTGCTTTCCTGGCGAAACAAAAACTCACCGACATTTATTATACCGAGAGAGTGTCCGCTTGTGAGATTGTCTCAACCTATAGAACAATGGCAACAAACGAATCATCAGGCAAATTCAATATATCCTCTGGTGTAAATTATAAACTCGAGGCATTGAATCTCATCCTCGCCTCGCTCAGTAAGCTTGCGAGACTATCTACCTGCAATTTTATGTACTGTGCTTGATGTTCCTCTCCTTTGAAACTTTCCATTCTTTCTCGAAAACTGTCAATTATTGCGGTATTTTTCGCCAACACGCCGGCCGTTAAGACTGTCTTTACTATTGTGGAATTTTCGTCCGACGCAGTATACTCCCCGTACTTCACCGTGAATTGAGCAAACTCTCGTTGAGAAACCAGCGAGTCCGCCCAATGAACCATGGTTGTCATAACAATTGAGGACAAAAGAAGAGTTTGGGGATCGGAAGAACATGAGGGACATTGTAGAGTGGCCGAAGAAGTTGTGAGAACATTTTGACTATGGTGAAGTTTTGCCTCTATTCCCACTGGCGACTCTCGTTGCTCTATAGCCCGAAGCTGACCCATGCAATCTATGAGACTCTGCATACATCTGCACGATTTCGTTGGAGATCTTGAAGAATGTATCGGATAATCATTGTTTCTCTGTGATAGACTTATTAATCCTCCAGCGTTCTCGAAGCTTACAAGTGTCGAAGAAGTGGGTGTTAAAGGGCCCCGTATACATGCGGCTGCGAGGGAGTTAAATGCTTCTAGTCGATCTTGATTATCTTTATGCCCAAGTGGCAAGAAGTCGGAATTCATGCCATTATGAATTGGTGAATGCGTAGCTGGTGGGGACAGCAGATGTCTCAGGGAAGGATCCAAGAAATCATCAAGCTACAAAGTGGTCAGTGTACAAGTCTAAGACTCAATTCGAGATTAACCATACAGACTGTTCCATGATATCGGACATGCTGATATCTGGCGTGATTGAAAAGTCCATGTCAAGCATTGGGTACTGTTGATGCAAAGACGTGTCGAGCGCCCCTTGGGATTGATCTTCGAAGCTTCTAAAATCACACGGATCTGGTGATTTCTCTGCTACTTCCGTGATTTCGTTCAATGTCTCAGACCCCTTGGACTCGGGAGACTGAGCTAAGACAACTGTAGAGCCGATGCTACATGAGCGTTCGCTTCTTAAACGCCCATTTCTGCTCAAAGCGAGAATCATTCTCGCGTGCTGAACTTCCTCGGTCTCTGTGGTAGATCCATCGACAAGCCTTCTCAACTTTTCTATTGTTTTCGCATTCAAACTACCTTTTGGTTTACCTAGATTGGCACGCACGCTGAAGCGGCAGGAAACACTACTGTTCAACATTTGTTAATCTCTAGAATCTCAACTCATTGACAGGGGTGAGATCAAGTATACTCACTCTTTTTGGCACTTTATACAAGGATTTCCACCCGTGCATCGAATTTTGGCACTGTGGCATCTGTCGCAAGCGGCTCTATATCTCTTAGCGCTCTGTTCAGTCATTTCTGGCTGTGGCTGTGGTTGTTCCGGCATCTACAGGCGAGTTTAAAGCGATGATCAGTTGTGAGGTTATGCAAAATGATGATTGAAACGTGAGAAGAGAGAACATCACACAGTATTAATTAATCACTACATCTCATATCTCAATGTCATGCCATCACAATACGACGGCACTAGGACTAATTTTCACGCCGCAGGACTGCTTTGGTAGGAAATTTTGATGTTGCAGCAGAAGTAGAAGTAATTGTAGAATTACACGATCGGTCATAGTAACGTTTTGAAGAATCAACCCCGTAGCATTTGCCGAGCACAACGCGGGGAGTGAGATGCGGGTATTGCCTAATGTAGAAATTCGTAAAGATTATCCGGCCACAGACTACTCGTGACTCACACACCACAAAAATACTACCGTCGCAATTACCACCCTCGGAATCCTTGCAGGACATTTATCATAACCTGATTTGACAAAGATAGGCAATGCTTACTAGATAATGGATGATCCAAGCGAGTAATATACAGGAGCACCTTCCACATTATGGATAATATCATCAAGATTCCACCGATAGACATTGTGACCAATAAGAAAGCCGGATACTCTAGGTGTTAAGTTCGCAAAAGATTTGGCCTCACTACCTTCAAATAATTTATATCTTCAATTTTATCAACCTTACTACCTTGAATCGAATGTTTGTACTTATACTAGCCAAACACTCTTACACTTCAATAATTGTAGTGAAAAGTGCACACTTTGACTTATACGCACATAGCCTAATATTTATGCAAGGGTCGAGCCAAACGGGCGCTTAGGATTTATTTTTTCAATTTGCACAATTTCGTACAATTCCTTGAAGACATCAAGTCATATTTTAGTACGCCCAGAGAAATGTGCCACAAGTCAACGATGGAGCCGCGTGTCTGTCAAGGAGCAGAACCGCATGAAAAAATACCTCAAGGATCATGACTAATTGATGTTGTATTATCTGACGTGCATGATGTTTCTCGATTACACTAGCGCGCGGGCAACATTATTGTTTTCAAAGCTTCGATTACTTTAGATTGGTTTCTGACCTGTCACCACCCAGAACCTCCATGTATTGCCAATCTCCGCCATCTCCTTAACTACAGCCTCTTTGAGGGACTTAAACTCTTCAGGTGTGTACCAATAGTTTGGGGTTTCTGTAAGATGTCAGCATTGAAAATCACCTATGCCGGAATTGTTTATCTTACTTGATCCAATCATGGCAAAGTTATCAATCATATTGGTAAGATTATTCGTCGTGCTTATCTGATCTTCAAGCGTGGCGGCCTGGCACCCCATTGGGAAAGATAAGACTCTCTCTTGTATATCGACGGCGCCCGACTCACGTAGCCAGCCCGCGATAGATGGTCCTGGGGAAGGGTTCATACCAGCTTCGGTGAACCCTCGCTGCATGTAATTCATCATTCTTGTCATACCAGGATGTTCCTCTCCGCCATCGTAAGATACAAGATCTGCATCTACCAATTGGATAAAGCCACCTGATTTGACTAAACCAAAAAGCCGTTTCACTATTGCCGATTCCTTTTCCGGGTTGAACATAGCGAGACAATAACGCTGATGGACAAGATCATAGGCATTTTGGTCTTCCACAGGCCATTCGTCCATTACTGATTGGACCTTGAATGTGATCGCACTTGGCAAGTTTTGGATCTGCTCAAAATGCTTCTGAAAGATATCGGTTCCCACAAAAGAAGCCTCCGGAAACTCCTTCAAGGCATCGACCATCCAAAGACCATCGCCGGTTGCGGAATCGAGGATACGAATTGGTTTTGTTTTTGGAAGAGGTGCTCTAATGAGAACTCTGTCCATTGCTGTCATATGAAGCTCATGCTGTTTGCGCAAACGTTCGTACTCATTCTCCTGTCTAGCTTCCATCCCCTTGTAAAGAGCGATGCGCTGGGGATCAGCTTGATCAGCTGCAATTGAGGAACTCATCTTGTCAAAATTGGTCTCAAATAAGTTGTTGAAAATAACTTCAGGATGTTTCAAATAGGAAGAGTAGCGTGAAATTTTATTTAAATTTGAAGGAATTCAACATTGGAGAGGTGCTAGGGTGGTCTATTTCTAAATTTGACGAACAATGTGCCGCAGATGGCATGACATAATCTTGTTGGCCGAAGCCGTTTCCTCTGCCTTAGGCAGTGATAAACCTGATGAAGCTGACACAATATTCACCGATTCGGCGTAGGATTCTTGAATAGAAGGCCGGAGGATTGGAAAGGAGAAATCTAACATGTTTAATAGTAACACGATTCGAGATTCTGGTGCTGAACGCTCAGTTTTTTCAGTATTGACGATTCTAGCATCATGGCGCCTTCTGTCGACATCAACACAGCTCCTCAACTTGTTTTAATTATTGTTCCAACTATCGCTCTCACTTTTACCACAATAGCGGTTGCCTTGCGTTTCTATTCACGTACATTGTCTAGAGTCAAGTATGGATTAGATGATTGGCTGGCGTTGGCATCTTTGGTACGCTTCTTGCAATTAGTTATGAACTTTACTGATAGATATAGCCGTTTGCATATGGGCTCCACATTGCTCTGTGCATTGGTGTAGCCTATGGTGGCTTAGGCGTCTCTGCACAGTACTTACAGCCATCAAATATGGTGATTTACCTAAAGGCATGTTTTTCTACACTGAGGAGATGTTCCACTGAATACCCGCTGACCCTATATTTCCACAGGTTCTGATAACCAGTGGTGCAATTTACGGAACAGCAGTAACTTTACTTCAACTCTCGATCCTAAGTTTTTACCTCCGCTTATTCAAAGTCTCGAGATGGCATAATATATGTTGTTATATCGTGATGGGAATATGCGTGGCATGGTGGATAGCTTTCTTCGGAGGCACCATGGGTGACTGTGTTCCACTTGACAAGCTGTGGAACCCGATGCTTGCCGGAAAGTGCGTCGACCAGAACAAAGCTTGTGGTTCGACTGGAATAGCCCATATTATCATTGATTTGATAATTCTAAGTCTTCCAATGCCTGTGATATGGCAGTTGAAAATGGCAAAAGCACGCAAGCTACAGATAAGCTTCATTTTCGCCTTGGGTCTATTGTATGCATTCCTTCAACAATTTTGTGAAAGCATACTAATGTATTATAGCGCGACGGTATGCTCTATTCTGCGCATAAGTTGCATTGTGGGACTCGTCAAGATTAACCATGCCGATTTCACACTGTCGTCATGGATGAGCTTTCTTTTCGAGATGCTCGAGGTCGCGACTGGCATCATATGTGTATGCCTCCCATCACTTCCTGCGGTGTACACCAAGGCCATCTCTTCGCCTTTCGGTTCCTATACGAAGCGTCTACTTAGCTCTCTACTATTCAAATCCCAGAGCCAAACGCTGGGAAGCGATCCTCTTCCCAGTCAGGAGGGTTACTTTGGAAAAGCTTCTAATAACTCGTCTTCGGGAAAACATTCCATGAATGTCAAAAGCGATAGTCATATTGCCATTACTAGCCACATTGCCGTGAGCAGTGAAAGCGCGAGAAGCAATGATCGCACGTCTGATATATCTATGGACCAATATCCATCTCGCACTAGAGGTGGAATGCAAGTATAGAATAAATATCAGCCGGTGTTGGAAGGGGTTGCATGGGTTCTCAAATCGCTGCAAAAATTTCTCTCTGGAGATTCTAATTGTTGTGACGGTGTTTTTATGTATAAATATTGGGCGATATTATCAACTGTTTGATAATTTGTAAACCCTGTGATTAACAATGGAAGAATATAGTATGGCGTGTCATACGGACATTTTTACTTAAAATGATATTAGATAATAATAATCAGATTTCTTAATTTCAATTGATCTATATTTTTGTTAAGAGTATACGAGAAACTAGGGTCGAGTAATAGTATATAGAATTCTATGAAGAACTAAAAGGAATCCTCTGGATTCGTATGCTAATACATACTAGTGTGATATCACGTGATCTGGGATACATCGCTCCTTTACAAATCTCATCTAATAAAAAATGATATATATTATTTTATCTATTAAATATAAATTATTTCAAATAAAATCTATATTATATAATGATTTTCATGATTAATAAGTATTATAATATCCATATTATTTATGGATTATATATTAAATATAAAAGAATTATATATAATACATTTGCTTTTATCAAGGTACGGGTAAAGACTTATATCGTATCATAAGGGTAGAGGAGCTATAAAAGAGTGAGGCCCTACTTATAAGAAGGAGGGTATAGTAGTAGTCTATACTTGAGGCATAAAGACAACTACATATCTGTAACGAATCACATGATTCTAGTATATAAACTCTCTTCTTCAAGAGCTTACATTCTTGAATTGTCCCTTTTGGGGTTGTGACTTAATAGTAAAGAAGAGAGCTTTAGGTTTATTATATTATTCAAAAGTTAATAATTATTCCTTTAGTTAATTATAGAGGTTGTACTGAGAGTATATTTTTTAGAGTAGATCTGAAACCTTTAGGATAGGTTGTATTTAGATATATTCCTAATATGAATCTGAAATCTTTAAGGGTTGTATTAGTGTAGACATATTCCTGAAAACTAGAGATAATATAATTCAGGTTTGAAACCCTTGAGAAATCATGCTTAGGCATATTTCTATATGTAGGTCTGAAATCTATTCAGATTAGGTTAAAAGGATAGCTTTTAAAGAATCTAGTTTTTTGAGAATAGATATTGAGGAGTTAGAGTTAGATTATATCTGAATCTGATTCGTTTTTATAGGTAACTAGTATTAATCGATTGAGGGTAATTAATCTTTAGAAGGGGGGTGATATAACGAGTTATATGATTCTAGTATATAGACTCTTTTCTTTAAGAGCTTACACTTTTGAATTATCCCTTTTAGGGTTGTGGTCTAATAGTAAAGAAGAGAGCTTTAGGTTTGTCACAGTATAAAAGTAAGTTATCATAGAAATACAAAAATAACATAAAAGATGTCACGGTCAAGTCCTAGAAGGCCACTGGAGGCATGTGAGTAGGTCCTATAGACCCACTTTGTACCGATATTAGCCTGCGTACAATTATAAGTTGTAGAATTTTCATAGTTTAAAGGAATTAATGAAAAGTCTTTATATTACATAATACCTAGTTGATTCATTACTTTTATCTACTCTAACAGAAGATTGTATCTCAAACAATTCTTTAAGTATTATAAAAAAACAAGTTTTAAATAAATTTATATTTATATTTAAATAAAGAATAATAAAATAAATAAAAAAGGAATTTCCAGAAAAGATTTTAGAAAAGGTTCAAAAAAGATTTAAAAATAGATTCAAAGAATTAAATAAACAATAATAATCAAATTTTATTAGAAAAGATTAGATAATAATATAATATTTTGTTAGATGAAAATAAGTTTCAATAACATGTATGACATTGATTTTAAAATTAGATAATAGTGTACATAATATGTAGGCGAAAGAAATCGTTCTGAGCAAAAATGTCCGCATGACACGCTATAATATAGACCGAGTTTCCACATAGTACACGCATATATGACCGAACTTTCGGGCTCATATTGGCACTACGGACTATTTGTGATGAAATACATGCCGATGTAAAAGGTTTCAATTTAAATGCTCAATGATTTCACCTACCTATCAAAGCTTCAGCATCAGTTTGAATTTCACAGAGCACATCTTCGAATAAAAACCAACAGAATGGCGGAGGAACAGACACCCCCGCATGCCAAGTCAAGCAATTCCCCGGGAAAAGTTACCCTCTATGTCGTTCCTGGTATGTTGTTTCTCAAGCCCTAGTGTTCTAATCTAATACGGAATTTGAAGCAACTCCGACTTCCGGGGCGCATGTTGTCAAAATTTTGATCCTGATGAAACTCCTTAGCATTCCACATGCGGTGAAAGTGGTACCATCTCCAAGCGACGATGAATGGTTTTGGGAAATCAATCCCTACAGAATGGTTCCGGCCATTGAAAGTGAAGATTACGTTGAGCAGCCAGGAAAAGAACAAAAGCCTTTGAATGTCTTTGAGAGCTGCTCATGTCTTGCCTTTTTGGTAGATAAATATGATAATGACGGGCTCTATGGGGGGAGAAATCTAGTTGAACGAGCACAGGTCTCTAGCTGGTTAATGTCGTACACTTCTGGTCTCGGGTATGTTCTAGATACTACTAGCAAATTTAAATAGACCTTTACTGATGATTACAGCGCAACTGGAAAGTGGTGGCTGGTGTTGAAGCGAAAACACGGAGATTCCATGCGGGAAGCGATTGAAATTTTCGCTGATGCTATCAAAAAAGAATACTCCATTCTCGAAAATCGGCTTCAAATTACTGAGCAGAACTACATCGCTCTTTCCGACCGCCTCACTATCGCTGATATTGCTATCCTACCGTTCGCAAACGAAAATATTGCGGCATCGGCAGGCATTGACTTCAGTGAATATCCCTCACTGCAAGCATGGAGCCGGAAACTTCTCGGTCTTCCACAGATCATCACTTCCTTCGAACTGGTGACAACGTTTGGCCGTTGATGGATCAATCATTGAGATGGTAGAATACTTTAAATGTGAATTTGTCTTAACATAACTTAGATATCCGAATATTCACGTTAGAAAGTGGAACCCAACTATTTTTCGCTAATCTGAATTCTCCGTCTGACTTTTGTGCTTCGCAAATCGTAACTTCATATCCCTTGACAAGATTGGCAACCATAATTTTGATTGAAAGTTCAGCCAAATGCTGCCCAAGACAATTACGATTTCCAAATCCCCATGTGAAAAAATTATATTTTAACTACATTGCCTAAGTTAACAAATTATGGCACCTCAAATGACAAGATCACAAGGGAGGCTACTCACAGCGCTTTGATCGATATCTGCAAATCGCTCTGGTCGAAAATCTGTGCCATCAGAACCCCAAAATTCATGACCAGTATTTATTTGTAGGGTATCGATGGTGACTGAGGTCTGTGAAGAACACAATCAGCCAATTGCATCAAAACATTTGATCGCAGCTTCTTACGTCCGCTCGGACCAGAAATCCGCCCAAAACCTTGTCCATTGGCGATGATTCAGGCATTGTGAAGGCTAGAATTATATAGTTATTTATCTATAAGTATATTTCTTGATGCATATAGAATCATACCTGCTATGGGACGAACGCGTAAAGTTTCCAGAAAACATAAATGCAAAAATGTGTCTCGTCGATTGCAATAGGCCTCAAGATCAACCGAGTCATGGATTTCATTTCGTAGTTTAGATTGACATTCCGTACTCTCACCGAGAAGAATTATTAGCCATGTTAACGCATTGGTCGTGACGTCCAAATTAGTGAAAAGCATCTCATCTAGTGTTTGAAGAACCTAGAGGCTTAGTCAGTCGACCATTAATTTGCAACGTTTTTTGGGTGAAGTTTAACTTCATTTTCTGTGACTTCCTTCCGCTCAATAGATTGCCACGAGGTGACAATGGGAGTTAAAGGCAACGAATTCCCTCGCTTTTCTGCCATTTTAGCATTGAAATCTTTCCATCGGCGTTTGAAATTTGAAAGCTCATATATCGCTGTTATACCCGTGCAGAATGACCTATAGCTCAAGACATATCGCATCAAGTTCAATCTCCCAGGTCCAATCTCCCAGAGTTCATTTCTTTCGCCTTCTTCCATAGGACCGTAGATGATTTCGGCGGTACACAACAGGGGATATTTCATAAATGCACTGGATGCATGAAGGACAGAGCTTTCGTTGCCTTCGGTTGGGGGGATTGATTGAAGGAAAGACAGAGAGTAGTCATTCATATGAGAGCATCGATTAGCAACTGCTCGGCGAGTGAAGTGGGACTCAAAAATGTTTCTGAGTCTTCTATGTCTCGAGCCGTTGATGAGACCTAGACAATCTCCTAAGATCTGATGAAAATACCAGCCCCCATTGCTGGAACGAGACTTCTCGTGTACGCGTGCATCGGAATAAAACTCTTTCACGTCTATTGAGCTCGTCAAGACACTAGGACCCAGTCAGATAAGCCATCAAGGAAAGAGACTTTTCATACACTTCCGGTATGGTACGACACCATATTCGATACACAGACCCATACCCATACCAAAGTGAGCTTTTGGATCTTCCATCAATGAATTTATCCACGAATTGACCATGCGGCCATTCCCATGACGGCCCAGGTATCTTCTGACCTTGAGAATCTACTATCTTGTAAACGAAGGCGAGAATAGCCTAGGTTATCAACAATCTGTTGACTAATTAAGGGGGCAAAACTCACCCCGACAAATGTTGAAACTGAGTAGCGCCACACAGTGGTAAACCCCAGTAACAAAACCAATATGAAGATGCAAATCACAATGAAGCCCATTGTGAACAATTAAAATTACAGGCGTTATTGGAAGGCATATATTGGGCAAACAGTTCTCTTCTGCCGATTCGAATTTAATGTATCTTAATCTCACATTACTTCGGCGATCGTTGAAAAGTAAAGGCCGAAGGCTCTCAACAGTCAGAATGGACCAAAAATAATGGCATGTGACATGTAAAATTACTCGTGATAGTTTACGAAATGATATCTGTACAATCCGATCTGCAATCTCTACTCAAATCCCTTTTCGTAAGCTCCGCGAGGCATGATAAATCTCGGGGTTGATATATGATGTAATAGTGCAATCAGGCCCTTTAGGTGCGCAGCTTATGTAAGTATGTATTCCCAATCCATCTGAGAGTGAACGATGAGAACTATTTGAAAAAGTTAGTGAAACTAAAAGTTAAACAATAATTGAGATTACTTTACCACAGACTTGCCACACCGTCGAAATAGGACCCATTCGTCAGTCTCTTGCCCCTCCGCTCCAGGAATGTAGATAGACCTTTAGCAACCTCGTGGTCACTTTTACCGTAATGTTTCGCAGGTATGTAGACTTTAGGAGTTGGAAACGGAGAGCTGGATTTGATTTCGAAATAGTATAGTATACCCGAAGTCTCATGAGTCCTTTCCGGAAGGGGAGAGGATACGTCCGAGGGAGAGATCCCTAACACAAGACACCATATCTCTTGCAGGGAAGACAAGAAAGAAGGTTCTAAGTTTACAAGCCGTTCTCCCAAATTCATGGTATCAATGACACTGTTTAAAGATGTCTCATGTGACCTCAAGTATATTTTGATGGAGGGATCAGATGAATTAGTGCAATTCGTACTCACTATTTCGATCCGGGGCTTCTTACCAACAGCACACGAGTCAATATATTGCGCAATAAGATCAAAAGCAATACCAAGGTTGGGTGATGAGATTGCGAGACTCTTGATGGATTCCCCAACCACCATCAAAGTACTTTTCTGTAATGATGCAGCTCTCCACATAGGTAGGTAATAAGTTTTCAACTGCGAGCTCTCATCTAAATCGAATGCGAGGAATATTTGAGATAGGTGACTGTGAGGAACTTTGGAAGTCCCAATTTCCCAAGGCTTGGACTCCTGTCCCGATACAAGAAGAGTTTTGCTGAAATGACGATGCCAATCAAGCGATAGATTTGCGCTGCATTTCTCTAACTTAGCGATGAGGTCAATACTTGCTTCAGTGTTCAAAGGATCGCGGATTGACCCAGCACATAAACCAATAGGCTCTATTGAATAACGAACAGAAGGTAATTCTGAAGAGGGCGACCAACGCCAGCTCAACTCGACTGGAGTGAAGTCATCTGTCATGAAGCTCCTCCAGCCTTCGCTTGAGCCTAGTAACTTGGGGTGAGTTCCGAGCGATGGAGCTATATAACTTGCAAAAAGTTCGCGATGGCGGGTATTCATGTGGGGGGTGTACCCTGCCATTCGTAACATTGAGGAAAGCATAGCGCCGATGTCGTCATCCCAAAGCGAAGAGCTCGTATCCTCATATCCAATAGATGAGCTCCCTTTGCTCGAGTCGATGAGGTTCTTCGCTTCAGCCTGGTAGGCTTGCTGATCCTGCAATGCAATCAATAATTTATTATATCATATTGTACTTCCAAGATCCACCTACTAGTAATCTTGCAACATATTCCGAAAGTAGCCTGCGAACAGACTTGTATAACGGGAGTGCCATCGACAATGAACAGATGTAAAGCAGACGCAGTTCATACAGCTTCCGCGATGTTTGTAAAGGCTGGTACTGCAAATTGCGGGTGATTGTTGCTGCGAGAGATGGTCGAGATCGAAAGACACTTATCTTGACTCAGTGAAGTAGACACCGGAAATAGTATCCCGGCTTGTCTTAGCTAGCCTGGCACTGGTTGTTCTGGCTATTCTCTCATCGGCGACTGAATGCCATATATTAGCCGAAACAAAACGCGATTACTCGTCCGACTTACAACTTTCATCGATGGACTTCCCCCTCCCAAAAAATTCAACACTCGAATCTGTCGTTTTGCACACCATCATGTTACCATCTCAAAGGTGCCGGACAAGAAACCAAACCCTGATTCCGCATTTGTTAGATCAGCATATGAGAAATGATCCTTTTTTGATCGATTTTGGGACTACAGAAAATTATCTAATCAGAGATCGTATTTTGAATTGCGAGAAATCAGAACAGGGGATCAGAGAATGTGTAAGTGCCATTCATATAACCACTTCGAATTGAGTTGTACATGCTATGATGCTGAATAGATAGGACCTTTCATACGATCAAGGTATAGGGGGCAATTTAGAAGCTCGAAAAGCTATTGCTGGACTTATCAACACAACTGGGGTATTTAACCCTAGGAGCTCAGTACAAGATACCCAAATTGTACTTGCCCCAGGAGCCAGCGGCGCACTGAGTGCCCTAATAGAACAATTATGCGATCCAGGGGATGCAGTAATGATTTCCACACCATACTGGTCCGGGCTTGATCTTGCTATATCTGTACACAAAGATGCTGTTACCCTACCTGTGCATATTCCTCTAGAGAAATTGTTCACAGTCGAGAGTATTCCATTCTATGAGCGAGCCATGGATGAAAGCTTAGTTCCCGTCAAAGCCATTCTTGTCTGTAATCCGCACAATCCACTGGGATGTTGTTATCCCAAGGAAGTATTGCAAGCATTGCTAGCCATGTGTGATCGACGTGGCTTGCATTACATCTCGGATGAAGTGTATGGGCTATCAGTTCATAATGATCATGCATTACTCCAGAAGAAAGATGGCTTTATCTCGGCTTTGTCAATAGACTACAATGAAAGTTCTGTCCACGTTCTCTATAGTCTTAGCAAGGACTTTGGCTGTAGTGGAATACGTCTCGTGAGTTTATCATCCACTTGTCAATCCCCAAAGCATGCCGCTAATCTCAAATATGGAGACATAGGGTGCAATTATTAGTCAAAACAATGTCGCTGTTCGTTTCGGTGCTGCTCTTACAGTTCACGGCCAGGTTTCTTCTGCCGCTAGTCTCTTCGCAACTAGAAGCATTTTGCGACCGGAAAACATAGACTTTGTGGTGGTTCATAACGGTGCAATCTTGCAAAAAGCATATTTGAGGGTGAAGAACTTTCTTTTGGCTAATGGGATCGCATTCATTCCTGCCACCGCAGGCATGTTTGTATTCGCGCAGCTTTGTCCAAATGCCGAAGCTCAAACAGAGAAGGAATTCCAAAAGAGACTAAAAGTAGTTGGTCTCTCGCTCAGTGCAGGGACAAGCTACCACTATACAGAGCCAGGCTGGTTTCGCATTTGCTATGCTGTAGAAGGTTCCGTATTATCAGAGGGACTCCGAAGACTCAATGAATGTCTAAATCCTGGGAGAGAAAAAATTCTGCCATTCATGAAGAACACTCCTGAATCGAACGCAGAGAGCTGCTAGAATTGCTGCAGAGTCGTTTTGATCAGACTGTAGAGTAGTACAATGCTGGACAACAGTTTCAAGCTCGTGAGAACCTGACGCGTGTCAGTAGATAAGATTGCCGTAACCACTATTCTGTACGGACTCAAACTCCGGACAATGGAGCGGAATTTGATGGTTTTGGAAATCGCAGAGATGGTAATTTCTGTCAATATATGGTCTCTATGCATGATCTTGCGCAATTTCACATTTTAGGTTTCTTCACTCCCGGTGAGCTACAAGCTCCTACGCACAAACCAGCAATCGTTATCAAGCACGTGCCACTTTACCCAAATCTTAACCTTGAGTCTTTTACCCATCCCACCGAGCCCACCACGTTTCGTCAACTCGCAATTTCAGTGGTCAGCATAATCTGAGCAACATCAATAAAAGCCTCATAACCAATCGAATGAAGCACGCGACATTTATATCGTCCTTGAGGGGCGTGAAAGTCGCAATTGATCTTCGATAAAGTTGCGCAAAGATATGAGATTGTTTCCGATATCATTTCTAGCTGCCGGAAGTGCTAGTCTTTGAAATTGTTCGAAGATATAATGTAGGTCGTGTTACAGCAAGATCAAATCGCTTTGGTTCTTCTCTCCTTCGTTCATTATCCTCTAATTCTCTTGATTTCTCCAAAGTTGAGTGAGATTATTTTATGTTCTTCAACATTTGACTACCCTCACGCTCCTAACAAAGCGCCTCCTTCCCAAAAGTTCACATTTTGCCATATTTCAGTCATTTCTTATTCATATCTTGAGATTATTTACCTCAATTTGAGTCAAAAGGGTCAATTTTGTCGTAATACGCGGTAGGACCTTCTATATTGAGCACAAGACCAAGTCAAGTTACCTAAATACCTCATTTTATAATGCCTCGCCCAGCTCATCCTCCTACCCCGGCTTCATCAACAGAAATCAAGGGAAAAGATGGTTCGAATTACTCTTCACTACAGATGTCATTTGAACTTCCTCCTCCTGCTGTAGCAGGAGTGGAATCTCGACCAACCAGTTCCTCTACCCAAGCATCATCTGCCTCCTCATATCAACCCGCTTCCCCAATCTCTCCAGCCATACCTGCTAGTGAAGCTGTTAAGCTTCGTCGAAGACCGGTTACACAAACCACTGCGAAAGATTCCTTCGCACTACCGCCTCCGCCTACTCGATCCCGAAAGATTATACAAATGAAACCTCGAGGGCAGAGTGATGAGATCATGAATACACCCGCAGAGAATACGAAGTCTGGTGGGAAACCTACCTCGAATGCGCCCAAAAAGAAGCAACCCTCTTCAACAAGTGTGGCTGGACGAAAGATTGCAAGGAAAACTGCACACAGCTTGATTGAGCGTCGTAGGAGGTCAAAGATGAATGAGGAATTTGGTGTATTGAAAGACATGATACCAGCTTGCACGGGAGAAATGCATAAGTTAGCAATTCTGCAAGTGAGTAATAGATCAGATATCCCATCAATTTTCACATGCTAATATTTAATAGGCATCTATCGATTACGTGAGATACCTCGAAGATTGTGTCTCCAAGCTGAAGGCCGAGAATTCTCGGGGTAACTTCTCCACAGCCACAGAAGAATTTACGTTACCGCCATCAGCACATCGTGGGAGTTATGATCCATCCAGACATGAATTTTCCACACGTGAATCAGAAGAAGATATAGAAATGGCTGGTTCAGAAAACCCATCTACCAATTACACCACACCTACACCCCCATCGCAACAAACATCGCCCGCTATGCTCCCACAAGATTCCCGTCAAAGGCAGGATTCATATTCCTCGTACTCAACAGATTCTCGTCATTATAGTATCAGTACCTCATCAACCACATCTCCCGCTTTAGGCGCTTCAGTCTATGATTATGCTCGGAGTATTGCGTCGATAGGATCGGCGCTCACGAGTCCTGCTCTCATACCGCAAAGAGATCAAAGGGATATAGATGAGGAAGCAAGTGCGGCGTTATTAATGCTTAATTCAGATCGCAGGGGCACGAGTTTTAGTGGAGTTCGAGGAATGAGTGTTAAGGATCTACTGAGTTCTTGAGCAACGGCATCGTTCGAATTATCACTCTCATTTCTTTTATGGAAGGGGAGTTCTGGAAATGGAAGACAATAGGTTATTGGATCCACAAGGTGGTTGGATGGTGGTTTGAAAATTCCAATATTTGGTTGGAGTTTGTTTTGAAAAAGAATTAGGAATCGTTAGCACGTTTGCAGGTTGCTATGGAACTGAGATTTATATGTCAGCTTTGGATATAGTCAACGGAGAGATGAGACAATAATAAAGCTTTGAAGCTGATCGGCTTTGAATTATCGAAATGATGTGATCGCAAGATATCTGTGAAAGGACATGATTTGTTAAATTCCACTCGAAGATGAGAATTACTCAGGATGATACAAGTGTCGAATCTCTGATCACAATGTGGATATTCAAATACACATTCGAAGGTTGTTCGTGATTGATAGTTTTTTTCCATTCTCCACTGTTTGCTTCAACATTTTGGAACGCATTCTCGGACTAGATGATCTGATTAATCAAGTCAGCATGGCGGAATAAATATATATTCAAAGCGTGTTCAGATTCGAAAGTTTCTTTTATTCTTTATTGTTGTACTTTGTGTAAAAGAAGTTTGTGTACATGATAGTAATCATGCTATTACATGTCTATGTCTGTCAGGATTACATTACAAGATCTGATGAATAGACATTATACATCATGACGGAGTAAACATAACGTGTGTGGATAAAACATGATATGCTACAAGGAGAATAGAAGGAGTTGGAGAATGTGAATTGTATACCTCGGCAGATGGTGATCTATATGCGGTGTCATGTATTTGTGATGGAACAAAAAAAGAAGAGATGAAAAGAGAAGGTGAAGATAAAGATAGGAAGGAATAGAACTCTGAAATGTTCAAGAGTTACATGATGAATGACAAAAAAGGATTCGGATGCGAGAAAATGAAGAGGACCATGATGCAAAATTTGTAAAATATATGTGAATGCTTGTGTAGGGTTGGGTAGATATTTTATAAATATATGAAATGGTTTTGATAAGATTGTATAAAGAATTATAAGGTTTAATAGAACCATTTGGATAAAAGGGAGGAGGGAGGCGGAGAAGGAGGGGAGGGGGAGGAGAGGAGGATATTGAGGTAGACAATACATGTGAGTAGAGTATAAGAAGGGAGTTGAATAATGATGGAATGAGGAGTACAAATGAGTTATTTTATTAGTATATTATGAGAAAGAGATAGTAAGGTGTTACGAAAACGATACGTACATAGTGTACTCGTCGATTCCGAAAAGATATTAACACTACTCGTGCGGCTAGAAGGTATGCCACACTCGACGCACAGGCATATCCTATGAGGTGGTAAAGTACAAGGTGATTGAAGGCCAATGTTCAGGTGGAGTGCTGTATGAAACGTAGCGTTCATGTATTTTTGGTGAGGGAATTGAAGAACCAAGGGAGACCCCTTAAGATTAGATAAAATTCTCATCCGAAGATGGGTCTTGTTCAATTCGCAATACAAAATGTAGCAATTCTGAGCATAAGCGATCTTGAGTTGAGACGAGCCCCTTTATGGGTCATTGTATACTTTGCGTATTGAGAAATCTTCCAGCGTCTATTTGACGTCTAGCCCATTTTTTAATTACCAAAACAGGGCACCTATGAGATATGCAACAAGCCTTCGGTTATTGCTAATGTTGATTCAACACAGATGTGCAACAAGAGGGTACAATTTCCGATGTCGGTATGGATATGGCGTAGATGTTATTCACCTAAAAAGCTTGATATTGAGGAAATTCTTCAGGTGAAGAACGTGCGATGTATCAAACATGGACGCTGAGAAGGGATTTTGAATATAATTTCGAGGTCAATACCTATACTTGAAGAAGTGAATCAGACGAGGAGAGAAAAAAAATATGAGAAGAAGATAGGCGGAAATCATTTGTTATGAGGATTAGGACAATTCAAAATAGATAAGCTTGTGTGGAATTGAAAGATTCCTTGAATCGTTTGTAGGATGTGTTTATGGATAACTAACTTTTGATTTAATATAATCCCAATCATAAGTTTTCATCTGTAATGATGTAGCTTAACCTCACATGTAGCCTTGTAATATACATTCAAACTCACCAAAACAAATCCTAATCAGGCAATCATCAAGCTTGTGAATTAGATATTAAGTAAGGATATACATAAATATCCTTAGTATTTCCATCTCGTATGCGCTCAAAAGATAACATAAAAATAGAGTTGTACCACAAGGGCAAAGGGTATCTCGTGCTAACTCAGGAATATGAGGCAAAATTCGCCCCCAGAAAGAAATGGTATCGTAACTTTGCGCATAAATTCGTCGTCCTCGGTTATCGCCTTCACTCCTCGTTCCTACTCGTCGTCTAGTATACTACTAGCTAGTCTACCAAAAATTGGGACTTCGCATCGGTCTAGAGTATCCGCTGTTTAGGGGGATTAGACGTGTTAATTTGGAAATGGAGTATGTTTACCGATATAGATAAAATGAAGATAGAGTTGAGAAGATAGAGAACTTACCATCTAGATATGCTCTCCTAGTTAGCCACACTATCAAACTGATGTCTCCTAGGAGCAATAACCATGACATGGATGGGCCTAAGTCTAACATTAATACCAATGCTTAAACCATAGGATTTTAAGTCTTCTCTCGAGAAATTCCTGCATGTCTTAAGGCAGATAAGGGAAAACTCACTCCAGGAAAACATCAAATGTACGACAAACATAGCCGTAAACAGTAAAGCGGACTGCCAAGCGTGAAACCTATCACCATTGTTCAGTAGTGTCTCATACAATCATCACACTGCCTCTCGACATAAAGACCTTCCCTTCCCACTCAAAAAGCTATTTCTCATAACTAACCTCACATAATCACTCTTCCTCTCCAGAACCAGCAGCAATACACCCCCAGCAGGCGGCAAAAGCAAATAAGCCAAACAAGCCTCATAATCCAACCGCAACGGGAGACTTGTTTCAAACTCATGTAAACCGTCTCTACTTCCCCCACCATACCCCGCACCTCCACTTACACTTCCCCCAACATTATACCCCCCTCCAACCCTCCCGCTCTCCACATCCTGATAGCCATCACCAGTATTTACAGTCGGAAAATATCCATCTCTCTCTCGTTCTCTCTGCGCCCATGGATTCGGAGTAGTACTTGGAGCAAAATTTCCATTCTTCGCCGCAGCATTACTGGTACTTTGCAGGAATGCCGGACTGCGAACTCCGGGACTGAAGGATCTACGGATGGGCGAGATACTTTGACGAGGAGAAGAGGTAGAAGTACGTGGTGGTGGAGAAAGAGCGCGAGTTTCTTCTGGGGAAGCTTGATAGGGTGCAAAATCCATCTTTAAATCTTCTTCTATTGCTGGAATGCGACGAGTAGATGTGAAAATATGAGTAGGTGATGGGTAAGTTTTGAATAATAGATATGCGAAAGAAGATGTTATAATAGCAGAAATATCTTCGAATGGACTTATTATTAACAGGTCAGATCATAAAATCATGAGGGATTCGTTTGTTGAAACGAAAAAGTCTCCGTTTTCTTTTTCATAAGGGCTTGTTGAAGAATCCCAATAAGATGTTTGTTTTATCGCGATAAACGCTTTACGATATTATTATTGTTTGATGGTGGATCATTGATTGTTATCAGTAGAAGGCCTGAGGCATCTATGCATATCAACCGCAGTGGCTTTCAATGGCGGAGTCAAAGTGTCACGCCAGCGGGTCCAGTTATTTAGTAATAAGAGCGGAGAATTTACTGGCCCCGCCCGGAATTATTATTGGAAATCGGAATGGTACAATTGAGCATCATCGTCTATTACTCTGTTAAGAATTTCCAAACCCATATCACACGATAAACGAAGGCCCAATCTGTGTACTAAAACAGAAGCTCGAGATACTATTTGATCAAGTATCCATTGCGGACTAGTCGACTGAAATTTATCATCATAAGTTTGAAAGGTTAATACCAAGGATCAATGTACACGTTTAGTCCAACAATTGGCTTGACAGATCATATGATGGGTAATTTTCAAATGTTCAAGACTACCAAGCCTAACAGTTGGCCCCGACTAATCATCATCATTTTGATAATCAGTCGCATCCGACTTTTGGCATTGGTATTGCAGAATAACTTCTTCAAATTATCATGCTAGTATGCGATTCATTTCATATATCGCTTATGACATCAGTAAGTATCATAATCCAATGCTACCCGTGACAATGGTAAATCGAGCCTTCAAAATATCCTTCCACTTATATGCACGCACCCCTGTATCCCAAATCGTATCCTCAATCCTTAACACCGTGCTCCGTATACCTGCTCTCTTTTCGTCGTGGGAAATCAAATCTTCCTGATATATTCAAATGCGCTGGAAGATTCATGAAATGCTGGCTAAATAGTCGGGGTTTCGTGATTCATCTAAACTCCACTGCCTGGAAACACCCCCTGTCCTCAACATGTTTCAACTCTAGTTGTTGAAATCTAAAAATCGTGTTAGCATGAGTGTCCCGGCTCAAAGTTGACGATTTACAATAGCCTTCCAGGACTTACTTCTCGCTCTTCGCGTGAAAATATATTCCACTAACTCTCCCCTCAACCTGATTAAAGCAAATGTAATAGAACCCTTCGAAACTTGCACCGGTAATTGTCCTAACACGATGATCAGGAACTAGGAAGTGTTCCTTCCATCTCATAAAAATATTATCTCGTTGTGCTAGATTTGGTATATGGCAGTTTCCTTTCTTCGCAGATTTCTGAAAAGGACGGAAGGCTTGGAACTTTGCCCAGTGTGTTAGATCGACTTTATCTGTGGACCCCCAATCTTCGTGTTGAGTGAAGAATGAATATTTGGATCCAATGATTTCACCTTCGAAATAGGTCGTAAGGGTAGGGTGGTCTTCGGTCAGGCCTGTTGACAGAGTATTCGATTAGTACGAAGATTTTAGTGCCATATTGAACACTCGCATACCTTGAATGCGTAAGTATCCACATAAAAATGATTCTCTCATGTCGACATGTTTAATTTCGACCTGTACGTCATAGACCTGCCGTTCTGATTGCTGTGTGCCATGAAATTTGCTACCTGGTCGTAATTTGGAAGATGGTGAAGACGGTAATAACTGTACTTTGTCAGTATGTTTCAAGGAATCAGCACGAAGTCAATTGTACTAACTCTAACGTTCGAGAAATCGTAACCCAAGGATGGCGAAGGAATCCGTGGATTAGTGGCGGTATGCATTTCAGCTTCATCCTGCTTATCTCCTTCCGCACTGACAGGAGATAACATGTCGGGTCCATTTGCTTCTTCATCAATATCCATGCTTTTGGTGTTTCGCAGATGAGATTGAGAAGTCGGTGTCATATCAACTCTTCGTAAATCATGAGGTGGAGGTGTAGGTTGTTGTGTAGTTCTTGAATCTAGAATCGGAGAATCGAGTGTACCTTCCATCTCTGGTATGCTCCAAGTAGACCTGTCATCTTCAGGGGGGCACGATGTGTGCGATATCGTAGCTCCAACTCTGGACTCGTTATTTGAAGAAGGGGTGGGCATTGAATCGCGCCGGCACCAGCCAAGCTTGTCAAAGAGAAATTAATAATACAGCTGAAGTGTGAAAACAATAATGTGTTGATGATAAGATTAGATGAATAGAACCGATATGATTAAATGGAAGAAATGCCTTGAAATTGTCGAGAAGATGAGATGATGAAAAGATGAGAAGACGAAAAGATGTTCAGATATGATAAAGGCAATACAACTCTAGCACGGTCATTGGCGCACAACGCTAAGATGTGACTTAAGTGTTCTAAGCTATTTCCAATGAGGCTTAGCTTCAGAATTCCGCTTTTCCCCGCAAGTAAATCCAAAAAAAGAACAAAATTGATTAATTGACGGATGGACGGTGATGAAGAACTCCATGTTCTTTACACAGGTAGGGAGTACTCCTTCCATACCATCTTCATCGATATCTTCTATTTATACTTCGAAAACCATGTATTGGTGATACTCTACTTGGACTTCTAAAGTAAGTGGAGCAATCCCGTTGATCATTTTATGATTTTCAATTTTGGTGCTCGTTACCCAAAGACTTCTTCTATAATGTTGTCACTGTAGACCTTTTAGTGTCACTCCGGAAAGAAGGAATTTATCTGATTGAACTGTTGAAAAGGTCCACATACCATCCGTATGTACCATTGCCGAAGTGGTCGCTCATGAATCGACAATACTTTGGTCCCTTCCAATTAACATATAAGTCACATGTATTTGCAAGCATGAACAACCCAAAGGGGCGAAAAAGGAGTCAACGGTACCATTAGTGATTCGACAGCACATCTGAAGATGCTAGTCTGGATGAATACCGGAATCCTTACTCAGTAATTCGATCCAGCCCTCAATTTACCCTCTACAGAATTCGGGTGCGTGTTGAATTGCTGGCACATACATCTAATGGGAGTAGGTTTATCTTGCGGGGCTTGATTCCTTGGTTGCAAGAGAAATAGTGCTTTGAAGACCGAGTGAAGTTGTTCGTCAGGTAGAGAATTCGGTAAAGATGTTCATGCATGCAGTGATGCCAGGCATAGTCATAACATAATGTACAGTAATGACAAGTCTTTTAATACCTCCGACGCAAGTCAACTTGGCATATCTGATAAACATCATGCAATGTACAGGATGAACGGCATACAATATATCATATCAATTCTAAAGACGCAAACCGAGCTTCGAGGGTTCGATCATTTTTCTGATTTGTACTATACCACTCTTCCATTTCTCGTCCCGGACCTGATAGATGAACAGTTTCCTTGATTTGGAAATAAAAAATGATGTTTCGGTATGTGATGTATCCCAGAAGCCGTACATGAAGTGGCTACCTCATCCAAGTACAACTCGATGAAGCAGAAGGGATTGCGTGTCGACATCCAGCTTGGTCAGTTTTGGCTGATCAGACACGACAGCACTACCATATCATAATTTTGAAAGTTTGACAAAATTGAGTAGATTTTTGTATCATTAGCACTGTAGACAAACAAGTGGCTTTTCCTCTATTGGTATCCATTTGTCTTGCAAATAAATCAACGCCTAACTCCTTCTTCCCCTGGACTTTTCTTAAAATCAAATCTTTAAATAGGCTTGATCTTGAAGTGCAATGCTATCAATGAAAATACTAATGCTTTAAGATCCTGCACAAGATAGTAGAATACCCGAAGGCCTTCTGGGTCTTGAGATTCTGTGACATCAACGAGAGATCCGATTTTGGCGGTCTAGTTTTGATCAGTGACACAATCTTACACTCGAGAAAACCATGCATACCTCGAAGGAGATGACTTCGCTGCCTATTTTGATTTCCAATTCTTGACGTCCATCTTTGTTCTTCTGAGGCCATTTGCTATCGTCTTCCCTATTTTGATATAAGCTTCGTGTGCCACGCTATCTGAGTTTGAGAAGCTTACTTCATGATCTCACTTGTTTTGATGATCCTCTTGATTTCCTCAACCAGCAAAGAGCTAATATTCACTATGAACCGTAAAGTCAGTTCGGGAGAGATCCGTAGAGCACCATTACCACATACTTTCTTTGCGGATCAGGGAATCGTTTCGATAATTGGAATTGTTGGCATAACGCGCGGATGCGCTTCTTCCATCTCCTAAGACTCGAAAGTCGAATTCTGAATCCGTTGTTAATATCCGCGTAAATTATAAACAACTTCTCAATCCTCACCAAGAAATTCGTGTCCATGTCGACCTTGGTGACCAGAACTATTGAGATAAATTAGTAAATTCAGACTCAAGAATTGGCATCAACTCACTAGTAGCGAATATAAAAGGGTTCGTTGAGAGTAGACATAATGGCGGAGACCTTTAGTTGTGTCTGCTGTCTATTTGACAAAGAAGGCTGAAGCTTTTGATAGCTTCTTGAGATTCGGTCATGAATTTAGCTTAAGGCTAGAATCTGGCGGGGATACCATTTTGTGCCTGACAATCTAAGGCTGAAACAGGCCACGCTAAGTCTTTCGAACACAGCACCCAGAAGCTGGACACAGTCGTGATAATATTCCCAAGAACACGCATGTTCGATGCGTAACTCCCAACGCATTATCTAAAATTACTATTAATTCCACTACCGATTCCTACTTCTTGAGATTCTTCCAAATCTCAATCTGCCGCAACTTCAAAATATCAAACAACCTCGAATTCAGAAATCCACCCTTAATACATAGTCAAGAACGAAATAAACACCTTCCAGCTCTGCAGCTACAAATATAGCCAATATGGCGACCTTCTTAGAACAGTCGTACAGCTTGGTACATCAGGACAATGCAGCAGATGTACCTTCAATGTCAGATTTGAGGACGCAGTTGGAGAAAGGGACAGATGAGAGTAAAGTCGAAACTATGAAGCGCATTCTCACAATCATGCTGAATGGAGATCCAATGCCTCAATTACTTATGCATATCATTCGATTTGTTATGCCTTCGAAGTACAAGCCACTGAAGAAGCTTCTTTACTTTTACTACGAAATATGCCCAAAATTAGATGCCAGTGGGAAACTCAAGCAGGAAATGATCTTGGTTTGGTAAGACCACTCTGAGCTGCGAAACTTGTGATACTCGTATTGACATGTGCCACAGTAATGGTATAAGAAACGATCTCCAACATCCCAACGAATACATCAGAGGAAACACGTTGCGATTTTTGTGTAAGCTCCGCGAATCAGAACTTATCGAACCTTGTCTCGCCCCAACTAAAGCATGCCTTGAGCATCGTCATGCATATGTCCGTAAGAATGCAGTTTTTGCAGTGGCTTCTATCTTCCAACACTCCGAGAGTTTGATCCCAGATGCCCCTGAATTGATAGCCGCATTCTTGGAGACGGAGAGTGATCATACCTGCAAGCGCAATGCATTTGCTGCATTGGTTAGCATTAGCCATGACAAGGCTTTGGCATATCTCAGTAGTGTCTTTGATGGCATTCCAAATGCAGACGAGCTGCTACAACTTGTGGAGCTAGAGTTCATAAGAAAGGATGCGGTTCAGAACTCACAGAATAAGGTATTTTCCACGATCATGGAACAAAACATTGCTAACATCTGTAGGCACGATACTTGCGACTCATCTTCGACCTCTTGGAAGCCGGCGCTTCTACTGTCGTTTACGAAGCTGCTTCATCTCTCACAGCATTGACCAATAACCCGGTAGCGGTGAAGGCGGCAGCCTCGAAGTTTATTGAACTTAGTATCAAGGAGGCCGACAACAACGTTAAGTTGATTGTTCTCGACAAGGTGGACTTATTAAGACAGAAGAATGAGGGAGTTCTGGACGATTTGACCATGGAGATTTTGCGCGTTTTGTCAAGCACCGACATCGATGTACGAAAGAAGGCTTTGGATTTAGCTTTGGAGATGGTGTCTAGCAAGAACGTCGAGGATGTTGTCCTACTCTTAAAGAAAGAGTTATCGAAGACTGTCGACCAGGAATACGAGAAAAACGCCGAGTATCGACAACTCCTGATTCACTCCATACATCAATGCGCAATTAAATTCTCAGAAGTCGCTGAAAGCGTTGTTGATCTCCTCATGGACTTCATCGCCGATTTCAATAACACATCAGCCGTGGATGTTATATCCTTTGTTAAGGAGGTAGTCGAGAAATTCCCCAAACTTCGACCATCCATAGTTGAGCGTTTAGTGTCAACCTTAAGCGAAGTTCGGGCCGGAAAAGTGTACAGGGGGGCTCTCTGGATAGTTGGAGAATATTCTCTAGAGGCCAATGATATCAGAGATGCTTGGAGACGTATAAGAGCTAGCTTGGGCGAAATCCCTATTTTGGCTTCTGAACAACGTCTCCTCGATGAAGCAACTGATGGGCAAGAGCCAAAAGAGCCAGAACAGACCAATGGGCATTCCAAAGCCGCCCCAACAGGTTCAAGGAGAGTCCTTGCAGACGGTACCTATGCCACTGAAAGCGCCCTCACAAGTCAATCTGCTGTCACAGCCAAATTGGAGGCTGTCAAGGCCGCTCAAAAACCACCTCTTCGTCAACTTATTCTCGATGGAGATTATTATTTAGCTTCTGTTCTTTCTTCTACCCTTACAAAACTTGTCATGCGCCACTCTGAAATCTCATCAGATACTGCTAGAACTAATGCCTTACGCGCCGAGGCCATGTTGATCATGATTTCAATCATTCGTGTAGGACAATCGCAATTTGTCAAAGCGCCAATTGACGAAGATTCAGTGGACAGAATTATGTCTTGTGTTAGATCGCTTGCCGAGGTGGCCCAAAATAAGCAACTCGAAAGCGTGTTCTTACAGGATACCAGAAAAGCATTCCGAGACATGGTTCAAGTAGAGGAGAAGAAGCGAGCAGCCAAGGAAGCAGTGGAGAAAGCTAAATCGGCTGTTCAAGTCGATGACGTCGTCTCCATTAGACAGCTTGCAAAGAAGAACACGATTGATGGCGCAGATGAGATCGAACTAGACCTTGAAAAGGCGACTGGAGGAGATTCTTCAGTGGAAGATCTTTCATCAAAACTTAGCCGAGTCGTGCAACTTA